AACACCCAATAAAAGACCTGGTCTGGAGGCGAGAAAATAACAAGAATAATGAACAACCACATACCAGAGACATTTTGCGGGGGTGGAGTGGGGAATGGGATCAAAAACGGGGGGGTGGGAAGGGAAGTGCACGGGATTATGGTGATGGCACACGGGTGACTTAGTGATGGGAAACCCGCGGGGATTACAATTGAGATGGAAAAAAAAAATGTAAAAAAGACACCCAAGCCTTCATGGCCTGTGTGCTGGAAGCAAGTGTTTCAGGTAACACCAGAGATATGTGGGTGACTGTCAACCCTATTACATTAGTAAAAAAAAAAAAAAAAAGTAGGATGCTCCAGTCTAACAGTTTACTAGATAGACCACCACCTATCTACTGATGCTTTTCTTCCTGTATCCAGTGTGGTACATAACACAGATCTAATTCCTGAGAGAGGCTTAATTTACCAATAATCCTCTGAAATAAGTCAAGAGACCAGGCTCATCATCACTATGGACCAAAAATCCTTCCCAAAGAAACAATGAAGCTCCAGACCACTGAGACACAGGGATTGACACGAGTTGCCATCTCCTAATAGCCTCCAAACTCAGAACCTCACACAGACAGAGCTCTGGGGTTGCACCAAAGATCACCACTCTTCAGAAGGTTTGTAACTCTCCTATAACATCTGACATGGTCAATCCTGGGAGCACACAGTCAAGTGAGAAAACCCAAGTTACATTCAGACCCAACTGTGCGCCATCATTTTCTAGTTATGTACTCTCTGCATCACTGACACATCACTGACACTGCAAAAGGTGGTGTCTTCATATGAAAAAGGAGCATTCAGCCCTACCTCTGTGGCAGAAAGGTACTAAATGACACATAGACATAGCATAGCAAGTACTTTCAGCTGCTTTCGGTACAGTTAGTTCCGTCACATAATCACTCTTGAAAAATGACAGAAAGATGAATGAACCAAATATACATAAAAGGTCAGGCACTAATGTCTCTGCCCTAACACCTTCATATATATTAACTAACAATCTTACTCCTGTTATATGTATCCTCAGGGCAACCCTGCTCAGGATAATATATCACAGCTTCTAAACTGATAGTTAAGCGTGCTGGCCACGTTACTAGATGTTGACCGTAGTGCTGAAGCCACCACCCTGCTGTTTTCATATCGCTGAGAAAGACCTCACCCGTTGGTTGAAGTTTCTGTTCAAAGCCAAGCTTAGAAGGTCAATAGCATATTTGGAAGAGCTGTAGGGCTCCTGGCCTTTGCTGTGCTGGAAGTCCTCAAGGCTGAAGTTGGACTTCCTTGCATTGCGAGAAGACGTCCAAATGACCCGAGATGGGCTCTCACTGTGACACAGAAGGGTTTCCAGTTCCTGAATCTGAGTGATGAAAAAAAAGCAAAATGGATCAATGCCTGCTGGGAAAGTAGGGTAACAACCATGAAACCACTATATATGTATAGTAGAATTTAACAAGTTTTATTGTCAAAAGGGGACAGTAAAGAGAAATCCATGTTATAGTGAATCAGAATTAGACACGCCAGTGTGAACTCACTTGAACTTAATAAAGTTGTATATAGCTACACATACAAATATTGACAGGTACATAGGTTAGTCTGAACATCTATTTCCTTGCTCTTTTAGTTGCAAACATCTAGAAGCAACTGATTATCTCCATAGCAATGAATGCCCAGGTCTTGATAAAAGAAACTAGAGCTCCTTAGAGATATGGCTGATTCTAGGTTTGAGTCAGCAGACATAGAAGATGAATCTGAAGTATTTGCAGAGTTTTGGCGGGCTCAAAACAAAAACAAAAATGGAAAACCCCAATGATGAGGGTTTGTCATAAATATACAGGATCTAACTAAAAGAGCTCCAATGGTCAAAACTGAAACAATCAGAGCAAATAACATAAAGTACTATTTATAACTCAAAGTAGAAAAAACATATCCATGAATCCATATGAATATAATTTTTCAGCTTCACTGGCATATAATTGATCAATCAATAAACTATTTCATTAAAAAAAATAAATGGAATAGGCAAATTACCCTTGCAGAAAAAAAAAAATCCAAAAATTTATGTAACAAATCCACCAGAGAAGACCCATACTGATTACCCATAGTCTCCTCTTCCCCAAAGAAGAGAGCAAATAAAGGGAGAAGGAAAAGGCATAATTTGATAGTGAAAATACCAAGCAGATGAGGGCTCAATTGAAGTAATCAAAGTTAACATCCACAGTAATGAATAATTTGACAGTGATCTGAAGTGATGAGAAGGGTACTTTACCAATGGGCTTCCTCCCCAAAACACATTACTCTAGTGAACCATGAGGAAAACATCAGACAAGTCCCAATGAAGAGACACATCTACAAAATACCCGAGCTGTAATCCTCAAAATTGTCAAGGTCCTTCGAAAGCATGGAGAAGTCTCACCATCAAGGGAGTTTAAGACTTGATAATTAATGTAATGTGGTAGCTTGATGTCATCCCAGAACTTAGAAAGGACATTTGATATAAATTTGATATAAATTATAAACTTGAGTTTATAATGATGTTCCATATGTTTCACTAGGTGTAACATATGAATCATACTATTGCAGAATGTTAAAAATAGGGAAAACTGGTAAGGATTCTCTGTATTATTATATTTTGCAACAATTCTCAAACATTCTAAAACAAAAAGTTTATGAAAGGAAAATGTGAGAGGAAACCTATACAATGCATGCCTGCAACGAATAAGCCAAATACGGTCAGGCCAAATCATAACACAAGATTAAATCTGGATTCGGCATGTTTCTGATAGATAATACTTGTGCATTCCCTTCTGCTTCTCCAGAGTTGATGTCAAAAGAAAATCAACCAATACTTTAGGGAAGGAATGTTTTCAAAAAGCAGAGTGATCGTTCTACTTAATAGTCAAAGATTTAATGGTAGTCATAAACTTGAGAGTGTAACAAAACAACCCTGTGACAGATTCATGCAGGACCTAGGCCCCCGGTACTGTGTTAGCTTATTATAAGCTCAGTCTTTTTACCAGGATAAAGTGGCCAAAGACGTTAGTTTCAAACGTCTCTTGGAGACCATCTGCAGTGACCTTTTCGCACTGGGTTAACAGTCCTTCCGCAGTGGAGAACACGTGAATCACTTTTCTGAAATGGCAAAAGAAACTGTGAATTAAAAGCATTCTTGAGTGGGCCCTCCCTGGTGGCGCAGCGGGTTAAAGCACTGCACTGAGAATCTAAAGCCACTTCCGCATGAGTTCGATTCCCGCCGGCCCCGGAGGTGACCACATGGTGTGGCAGACCTCTCCTGACCCGCCCGCTGCTCCCCTCAGCAGTGTACTTCGTCGATCTGCCTGTTCTGCTCCCCACTCTGACTCTGGTGAAGCCTCTCACTGCCCCTCCACCTCTGGCCTGTACCCCAGTTCTGTATGTATAAATAAATAAATCTTTTATAAAAAAAAAAAAAGCATTCTTGAGTAAAGAGGTGTTCTCTGCTGCCTTGACTCTGTAAAGGAATAAAAACATCTATTCTTAGTGTGAGCTACCTGAGTATTAATTAAGATGCAAAAATGTTTCCATACCCCCAATCCACAGAAGTCTTACATACCTAAGAGTTCACACTATCAACATGAACTAGGTGTCTCAGAAGCCTGCTGCTAAAATTCTTTGTGCCAGGACTGCTTCATCAAAAACAAGTTACAGGTGAGCTGCTCTGAAGCAAAAACAGCTATGTCAAGGTGAAAAGGTCAGACCTCGCAGAAGCTAATGTCTAACTGCTGAACAAAGTGGGCTATTTTTCTTTTAAGTGGGTATTCCTCCCCAATACAGTGTTCTCCTATAATCTCCATTTAGTAGATCAAGACCAATGTGGGCTATTGAGTGTGCATTTTAAGAGAAGAAATCAAATGCAGCATTGTTATAAGTAGTACACAGCATGAGAAGAATATACTGAAACACAAAATAAGATTTACTTATTTTTTTTTTAAGATTTATTTTTTATTGTAGGTGTGGGTAAGCATTTTTGGAAGCCACTGTACTGATGTATATTGAGACTTCAGGAAGTTCATTAGTCCTGTGTATTTTCCTAGCCTACTGGTCAGGATCCCTGATTGCAGTTGGGAAACACTTCCAAATTAGCCTTTCTGGGTATTGGGGGCTCACTGACAACTTGTCTAGTTTGGTTGATACATTCAGTAAGACCAAAAACCGACCTGGAACATCCAACCATTTGAAACATCCTGCAGGCCTGACACCATAGCCTTGCAGCCCTTCCCACAAAGTGGAATGCTTTCCTTTCACAACATGGCTGCAACAAAGCCTCCTGGTCTTCAATTTTCTCAACTTCCACATCCCCCCAACTTAATGAACCAAGGGTAGCACTAGGCAGAAAAATAAACACCTTCCTTCTAATTAGTTTATTTAGAAAGTGGAAATTACCTTGAAAAGAGGCTAGAGAAAAGTGCTTTGACATTGAGCTGTGGTTTGGGCATGATCCCTGCATTTAGATATACATAGTCTAATCTCTGAAACCTGCAGGGGAAAAAAAACAAAACAAGATCATCAATTTTCTTTAAGATAACTAGAATAAAGAAGGCCTATAAACACAGAAAACACTTTCTGGACCAAAAAGATGGTAAAGCAAATTAAAGGGACTGCATAACACATCAGAACACTGCTACTTTATTTAGTTTTCTTTTTCTTAAACATTGAGAAATTTTATTTATGCACATCAACAATTCAGTGACAGCAGCTATCACTCTTTCTTATGTCTAACCATTTTTTAACCCATAAAATACTTCATTACTGTTCTCCTGACTCAGGAGCCATGCTTCCTGTGCAGTTTCAAGGACTCAGAGACTCTGAGTTATGGAATAGGACATGTGGGAGCCATGCTTCCTGTGCAGGAGCCATGCTTCCTGTGCAGTTTCAAGGACTCAGAGACTCTGAGTTATGGAATAGGACATGTGGGACCGAAAAAATTCAGTTTTGTAGAAAGATGATACGGTGGAAAATTTTGGGAGCTCAGCAGTAGAGAAGAGAGGAACCACCTCACCGAGGGCTAAGGCTACAATGAGCAGAGCTGAGGTAAAGAAAACCAAATTCTACCTTCACTTTGTCACTTGTGCATTTGGAACAGAGAAATGCATGTGGCATCCAATTCATAGAAAGAAAAAATGCAAAGTATTACTCTTCACTAAGGAGGACTTTGTTTCTATTCCTTTTACCCGCCAAAGAAATAAAACAGATTGTTTCCTAGAGGCCTCAATTTAAAAAATATTTGAAAAGTACGCTGGGGCTCAGCATGAACTAGAGCATGGAATTTCACCTTTCTGGATCATAAATTCCTCTGAGAATTAAAAAGAAAAGAAAAGCGTGCCCTCTGTCCCCAGAAATGTACATGGTGCTCTTATATGCAACTTTGTGCACCCTCTGTAGGAAGTTACACTACTTCCATTAACTCTATTCTGTTACACACTAAATATTCACCAAATGCCTATTAACATGCCTAAGTACAGATGGAAATAACCTTTACTGGCCTGGGAGGGAAAATCCCTGAGAAGAAGGCAAGTTCTAGACCAAACTGACCTTCTTTGGCCCATTACTCATTTCCTCAGTTTTTTCAGTGTCAGTACTTGCCTCCTGGCCTCCTTAGTAGTACTGAGGCCAAGCAGTGACTACACAGATCCTGCACTTGTTTCTTTTTTTTTCCCCCAGGTTTGCCTGTTCTTTCATAATGATTAATCATTATGTTGTGCAGTTACACAAGAAAAGCCCTGTCATCAAACCATACCTTTGCTTAAGCTCCTTGGAAGCCCGGAACACTGAGTGCAAGTTGCTGACATCCACCTGTACAGTGGAGACCTCAGCATTGGGGTAAGCAGCCAACAAAGAGGCTTGGACAGCCTCTGCTTTGCTTATGTTCCTGCATGCCAAGCATAAGTGAAGTTCGTCGTTTTCCTCCAGCAGCCGCTTGCAGAGAGCGAGGCCAACACCACTAAAGACAATCCAGACACAGAACATGATTAACTGAGATGGCATCCCAAAAGGAGCATTTCTTTCTGGTTCTCAAAACCATTCTCTTACCTTGCACTCCAATCAGGAGCAGGGGAAGATAGAAAAGAGCTCAACAAGCATTTCAAAAAGGGGGGCCCCCACCACTGTAATATCACTTGTGTTTCTCTCATTCTGCAAAAGCTCAATGACACAGTAGCTGCACTGCAAGATAAGAGTTGTCCACTAGTATTTCTTTACAAGTAGAGTTTTTCCTGCTAGTCATTTTCACTGTTATTATGTCTCTCGTGAAAATGATTCAATTCATCACCAGGAAATGTTGAAAACTGAATTTGGGGGGCTGTTTATTATGTGCATATTTTACTTTGCTGTCTATATTTCCCAAAGACAAAGACTCTGCTACCTGTTGGTATCACTGCCACTGTCAAGAGCATCAGAAATTCCTGATAAGGAATGGATGAATCTTTCAAGAAGAGGCATCAGTAACATAGCAAGAGGTACAAGTCCCTCTCAACTACTATGATCAAATAACTAACAGAAAGAGAAGAACTCAGCATTATTAAGAGAATAAAAGGAAGAGGAAATATAAGCTGGAGAACAAGAAAACAGGGAGTGAGCCCAAGGCTCTGAAAAACCTAAAGCAGGTGCTCAAACAAAGTCATTTTGTTTGACATCATTTTGTTATAACACTGATGATCAAAAAAGAATTCCAGCAGACGTTGATGGAAAGGACAAAAGATATTATCTGAGGACCTGGTTTCAATCTACCTCAGTTTGCTTAACATCACAGTTTGTGAGAACTTGTCTACAACAAACCTATATTTCAAAAAGAACACTGTGACGACACACAGCGCTGTGGTCAGCAGTCAGATGCAATGAAAAGATGGACAAATAAGTTCTCTTCCATACTTGAGCTGGTTACAGGCAAAGGGTCACCCCCCTTCCCCTATTCCCACCCCAAAGCCTGGCACCACCAGGTATCTGTTGGGCTTTCAATAGAGATTGGAATATATTTATCCTCAATTCTGACGTATTGAAGCAACTTCAACTTAGAAGCAGCGAGTCTTAAAGTCACTCACGACAGGACACACTAGAAAACTGCCAATCACAGACAACTACCACGCTGGCTTAGTTAATGTGAACACGGCCAGATAACTGAAGGTCGATTTATTTTTAATAGACATTGAACATAACTTCTGCTTTAAGCTCTCAAGAACTCCAAATGCCACAGGAAGAAAAATGCTTTGCTTAGTTTCTTCTGCACACGTTGTGCACAGATAAATAACTGGAACACGGTGGCATTAAGGTCAGGATAAAAGTGCCAGGTGCCCTTAGTAAAACGTTAAGAGGTCAAAGGTGAGGAGGAGCAAAAAACACAGGAAAGCGCTCTTTTTCTGCCGTCAAAGAGACACCTATATGTTAGCAGGGCTCTAGCTTTTCTGATTTAAACTCTCGTGTTTACTGAACACTAGGGCCAAGCACCCACCCGCGCGGTAGGGGCGTGAAGAAGAGCGACAGGGAACCGGCCAGAGCCCCCCCTGGATCCCTGTTGACACCGGCAACAGGACTTCTCAGCTTCGACTTTCTGGGGCTTCGGACCCCGGGTTCGCCGTCACGACCGGCCCTACCTGCTCGCCCCAGTGACCAGAACCACTTTCCGCAGAGACATGACGATGATGGACAACCCCGCAGTAGGCCCAACCGCAGCTCCAGCGCTTCAGACCTAAGCAGTCTCAGGGCAAAGGACCCGCCCGGTCCATCCCGCCACAGCCGCGGCCACGCCCACGCCCAGCCCGCCCTCCAATAGGCCCCCGAGGGCACGCCTCCCCTTGCGTCATCAACGCCACGCTCGGTCCTCCAATCGCTAGCGCCTTCCTCCAGCCCTGTGGGAGTCCCGGGAGTGAGGTGAGATAGACCGAGGGGCGGGACGTCGTGACGTAGAAACGCGAGCCAATCCGGACTCTCCTCGCCCCTCCGCGGCGCAGGTGTCCCTGCCCACCCCGGAGCCGGAGACGACCTTGGTGCTAGCGGTTGCTTCCCCGCACCGCACCGATTACTGGGGCTGGCACACACGGGCTCTAAGTCCTGCCTCCTCAGAGCCACACTTCGTTGCAGGCAAGTCTCAGGACTTGCGCATCAGATCTCTTTACTTTGGGGAGAAGGTTTGAGTCTAGGAGTTAAAGTTTGGACGTTATCATTAGTTTTTCGCTCCTTTCTAGATGTGCAGATACTGTTATCACTTTACTACCTAACTTCTGGCTCCAGAGCCCACCCCGACGCCAAATAAAAATAATCTGAGGAAAAGAACTTAATAGGACAGTATGATTTGAGTGCTATAACCTTCCACTTCGATGCTTCTCAAATTCTTGGTAAAGGACAGATTTTGTTTTTCTAAGCCATGCCAGAAGTATACTTTTGGAAGGTACAATAAAAATGAATTGCTAGGAAAAAATGAAATAAAAAGCAAATGGCATACAAGAAACAAACACCACTTTCTTTTGTGTTTCATGTTCAACGAAAATAAGAATATTCTGCCAAACTATTCTAAAATCTCTAATGCTTCTGCCAGGTTTCTTTACTCACCTGTCTAGGTCCAATGCTGCATATTGTGTATCAAGTTCTACTGAACATACTTTAACCTATGCTGTGGCCTCTTTCAAAATTGTAATTATTTATGACCATCATTGAACCTTGAATGATGAGAGACTACCTTCATTTATATTGGGCTTTGAATATCCTAGAGGTTTTGGTTATTTTTGTATCAACTAGTTTAGTGATCAGTTATTTATCTTATACCAGTACAACTAGATTTAAAGAATAATCTGAACACCAGTTTCCTAATCAAAAAGTCTTTATTATTATTTGACTAGAACTCAGTCAGCCCATTATTCCACTTTTAACTCTTAAAGTGACCACAATTTAGCAATACTTTCTGAAATTCCTAAAGTTAATCCCCATATTTAGAATCTAGATCCAGAGCATCCTTTTAAAGTATCTGAACATTCAGAAGTTATGTGGAAAAGGAATATATTAGAGAGTGTACACGGAGTTGTGGTGTTTGTCTATCTTTCCACCATGATGTCCAAGCCAAGTGAGGATATCTTCATCTCAGCTTCCATCCTTCTATTAAAGTTGCTTCTGTGACCTTCAAAGATGGATTGAACTGTTAGAGGAGCCCGAGAGATCAGGAGATCAGAGCTCTGTTAATGACAACAGAGATCAATTTTGTATTTTAAAAATACCACATGCAGAGTACAACTCTAACAGTCATACATACTTTGATTAATAGACAAACATGGCATTTATCAGCCCAAGCTGGTCCTACTGAGTTTGTGTTGTTCATGAGCTATTTTCCTGGATACTAGAAGAACATTTCTTCCTGAAAAACCTACTCCTTAATCAAAGTAGTAATAACTGCAGATCTACAATCGACTGTTTACTATCTAATATATTTACCTCTATCTAAACCTTGTAACCAGTCTTTGCTTTCTTTTTTGGTGGCTGGAACAGTCCTAAGGTGAACATAGCTGAATAAAAGGAACTGTAGCTACACTCCTCCTCCGCATGTCAGAGCATTCTGGATCCTTATAAACCAATCCAGAGCTAATTTATTTCTGTTTTGCAAACCAGGGCAGAAAAACAGTTGCTAATGGCCCTATGTAGCTTTTCTTTAGATATCCTTCATCCATCTTCTCTCAACTCATTATCCATGCAACCCTGGTCCAAAAAAACATTTGAGAATGGGAATTTACTCTCACTAGTAGTAAGAGGTCATATGTTATTTCTGCTGAAGAAATTATTTTTCTATAATAAAGACCAGAGGATAGTATAAGTATGCACATTTCTTTTTCAAAAATAAAGTTATAAATGGAGATAAATTTGTGTGCCTGTCTTCATCATTTAACAAAATATATTCATCCAAGTTGTCAGTTAAAATATAAGAGAAATCTCTGTCCTCAGTCAAAAATTATGTATTTGTACACAGATATAACACATATCTATGTCATGTTACACATGGACACTTGTGGTCACCTGTTCCCACCTTGCAGCTTTGGCAATAGGTGTTGACAATATAATCATAACTCTTTGAACATCTCTGCTCTCCATTTTTTCCTGCTTTGTTCCCAACCTCACTTTCACCACAAATACTTGAACCCCTGACCTTTTGTCCCAGAATCAAACTGGGCATGTAGGGGTCAGAGAAGGCATCCATGAGTCCTCTGGTTACTCATTGAGAGTAGGTGTCAATTCTCTTATCTATCATAGCCATCATATTAAAAAATATAAGTTCGGGCTCTCTCTGGTGGCACAGTGGGTTAAAGCACCACATTATGAAGCTCACCAAAGCCACTGCAGCACGAGTTCAATACCCGGCGAGGGAGCTTATTCTTTAGAGACCAGGTAAGAAGTATATTGTCATGATTGTTTTATCCTAATCTTCATTATAAAACCTGAATGTTCTTGTTTATATTCTGCTTAGTCATAGTTTATGTTTTGTTTTTGTTTTGCTTTTTGTATGCATGAGCACTGTTGAGCAAACCATATTGGGATTTCTGTATATCAAGACAACTTTGTAAAGTCAGCAATAAAGGGTCCCAATTACTTTGGGGCTACATCCCCTAGAACTGAACTAACATGAATTTAAAAAACCCCAGGCTCTGGTATGCTTGGGTACACCAGAGTCCACAATGCTTTTCTTCCAATGAACAGTCAATGAAGATGCTAAAGATGTGGGCAAATAATCCTGTCGGATGTCCTGAGAATATAAGGTCCACACCACATAACTTCTGCTCTGTCCTCACACCCCTTCTCTTCTCTCCAAAAGATGTGAAGATGTAAAGAGTAAGAGCAACAATGCTCAGAGCTGGTGTTACTTACACACAAAGAAAGATCCATCAGTAGCTTATTTCTTTAATCATTGTTATTTACAATTATCATCTGACAGACTTACAGAGAATAAATAAAGAAAAGAAAATATACAATTGGTACTCGTTTCTTTTTCTAATACAGAGAACTTTTATGTCTTCTATTTTGGAATGCTATGATAGGTGTACGCAGAAATTAAATCAGTTTTCTATTTACCCCTTGACAAGACACATCATCCTCCAAAGCCTGCAGAATGAGGCCCCACTGTTTCTTCTACTTGGGGGGAGTGTGCACATTGCTTCAGAAATTCAATCCTCACAAAGAACTATCAAACGAGAGGGTAGAACAACAGGGTATTGTGACTAGAAAAGGACATAGATTCATAGGCTAGGTTACAAACTCTTGAAGTGTTTAGAGAAGTCCTCCAAACTCAATAATTTCCAAGCCTCTTATAAAGAAAACAGTTTTTCACTCAAAGTGAGTGTGCTTTTCCTATGCATATTTTTCCTTTATATGTAACTGTTAATGTGGCTAGGCAGGCTATCCTCCTTCAGAGGCCCGTAAAGTTATTGACTGGTGTCTGCAGGAGAAACGTAAACGTAGGTTCAAATAGGCTGGGTTTGTGGTCAGAATCTGATTCTTATTCTTCCAGGTATTGCTATCTAAGTACCTCAAAGAGTCAGGTATTTCCATAGTTGACTTCACAATCAGAAAATATGTAAATGGAGGATATACAGTTTGGCACTTTTTTCTCTTTTCTCAGTTGAAAATACTGCCTTTACATTTTATAAGCAAAGCAATTCTCCCTAAATCCACCCCAGGAATTGCCTGCCAACCCTTGAATGAGGCTTTCTAGCTCTTATTCACTCAGATAACATATAGCAAATGTTTATTACATGCTCACTCTGTGAGAGGAGTTGCAAGGGACCTGGGCTGTGCAGCATGAACACAGCTCTGACATTGTAACCTGTAAAAAGGGCAGCTTAAAAATGCCACCCCAAATCTCAAAGCTGTAAATTAACAAAAATGGAGTTTCACCTCCCCAGGTTTTGGTTGTGTCTGCGTTAAATATGGTCCAATCTGGTTGTTACTCTATTTAAAGATAAGTACTTCTGAATGAAACTTCTCTACAACTAATCTACAACTCTAACTCACTCATAGAAAGTACAGGAACCATCTAGAATTTTTTCTGCTCAACCATCTAGCCAACAAGCTATGACAGCTGTCTAATTGTCTTTTGTGTTGCTTATTCCTCTTTGGATTCTTGGAATTGTCCAGATTCTACAAAAACAAACTAGTCAGAAAATGTAGACATTACCTGCACAGGATACTGCTCATTAATAAAGGAACGTATTCATTTGTTTTCTTTAGAATCTGACAGGGTAGTATCCAGAGTGTGTCTTTTTCCTTTTGCATCCAAGTAAGGCCAAGTTACAAATCAGGCTTAGAAAATCCAAAAACTATATGAGTAACCATTAAAACTTGTGAAATCTGAGTAATTGGTGGTTGAGTTAATCTTATTAACACGATGTTCATTTTCTGAGTTTGAAAATGGACTACAGTTACTCTATCAGTGAGGGAAAGTCTGGGTAAGTGGTAAAGCTACTCTGTATTAGTGTTGCAACTTCTTGTGAATCTTAAATTACTTCAAAATAACAATTTAGAAAAAGGATACAGCAACAGCAGAATGACCCCTTCTGTCTACCACCAAACAATGAATCTAATTGTAGCAGTCAACTCCAAAAGCCAGAAATGAAGTCACCATTAACCATTCTCTTCTCTTCCTATCAATTCAGCATTGCCAAATGGAAAACAGATTCCTGTGTTTATAAAAATGGCCTATTTCCATACAAAAGGATTTTCCAGTAGATATCTGGATACACAACGTCTAGCAACACTTAGAGACCAGATGGTCAGATGTCAGAGGTCCCACTGAAAACACCAACAGCGCAAAAGTTCCAGGTCTATAATTTAGGGACAAGGATTGACTAGCCATATCTTGGGAGTAATTTAAATCTTAACTGATTTTCTTCTCCTTTTTTGTAGTTTTGGGCAAACCAGATGCTGTTCTGTTTTAGGATGCTTCCTTGGAGCATCTTCATCTCTTCCCACTTTCAGACATTTCCCCTTCTCTGTTCTGCTTTACTCAAAACACATGGCTTTACTCCACATCATAGCTTTCTTGAGAGAAGCCTGGAGGAGACCAGAAGGACACATGGCTTCAACATGGCTTGTACCTCATTGTGCAGGCATCAAATGAGATTCAACTTATCTAACTGAAGCCTCGTGTTTCATTGTCCCCCCGTAACCTTCCTAGGCTTAGCAATGATGGGCATTATGTGAAATGGATTTCATTAACAGAACCGAGAGCAGGAACACCGAGATGCGAGAATCACCATAAAGTTTTCATCTCTTGGTGTCATTCCAAAGAAGCACTCAGAAAAACAAGTCTAGTTCAGGCACAGTTGCTTCCTTACCACCATAAATGCCTCTTGCTTATGTGGGTGACACAAAGTGCAGCTTGCCTCCTTCTCCCACTGCCTCAGAAATGAAAAGTTCATTCCCTGATGGCTGCTGTGTTCTTGTATGAGCCACTTGCCCTTTCTAAAAACTTGGAAAAGTCTCCTTCCCTTTCACACCCTGCACCTGAACTTTCATTTTTGATTAGTGTTTTCATCATCTTTATCATCCAGAATGTCTTTTCTCCTTACCTATGCATCCTTTATCTTCAACACACTTACTTTTCCCACCCTTTTTCACATCCTTCCTCAGAGATCTGTGATCATCTTTTGGAAAGCAGCCTCAGCAGCTCTTCCTGTGGACCTTGCTGGCTTTGACCATATCACTGTCCATTTACCATCACCCTCTTTTTATGCAACCTCTTTTTCAGACCCCCTTCCCATCACTCAATCACCTGCTCATGCATTTCTTCTTCTCTCATTGTCCTCCATAAAACACTCTGTGCTACAGAGTCTTATGCACTTGCAAGTGACCTTTCACAGTAGTAAAACCAAATGCCCCCTGGGGGGCTCTTTCCACCCCAGATCTTTCCTGAGCACTCATGTGTCTGGGGAGCAGCTCATCAGATTCAGACCTAGCTATCAGCACCAAGCAGACTGAAATAAATTTAAATCTAATCACCATAAACACAATCTGGCCATAAAGTTTTTCACAAATATCATGAACAAAATAGCTTGCAACAAAGGTAACAAGGGCCCATGGTTTCTAATTATCTTTCTATCTCCATTTCTAAATATGTGCTAACTTCATTCTTCCAATTTAGTTTTGAGCAACTTTTAAATTCTATGTACTAAGTCTTGGCCAGGACACTGTTGGGTCTCTTGGATTTGTGATGTTAAACTCTGTGTATCTGACTAGGCTAACAGTTAAGGTGTGTCTGTAATGCAGACATCTCAATGCCAGAAGATGGAGTCTTCCTCTTCCCAGAAAAGTCACTGTCTCAGATATGACATACTTGACAGCCACCTGAAACAGATTACTTCTATGACACAAGGCCCAGAAAATCCAGACTACTCAGGTCTTTTTAAAATATAATTATATATATATATATATATATATAATTAAATGAAGTGCATTGAGGCAGAATTGTAAAAAGAAATAAGGCAAAGGGAAGGGGATGGTTTTTATTTTCTCTTGTCCTGTAAGTCATGGATGTAGCCCAACAGACTGTGTGTAGAACAGACTGCGGGAACCAGTTTCAAGTCCCTTCTTTATGATTAAGGTTATGTGTTCTCTTGACTGGGGCATTCAATTCCCAGAATAAACATTATTTCTGGGTGTGTCTGTTAAGCTATTTCCAGATGAGATTTAAGATTTGAAGTTGTGGATGAGTCAAGCAGATTGACCCCACCATACAGATGATATCACCCAATATGTTGAGTCTGGATGGAAGAAAAAGAGGAGGGAATTAGGTCTCTATATGACTGCTTGAACAGGAGGCCAGGGGTCTTGGAACTTACGTCATCCACCCTCCAGTTTTCCTGGGTCTCCAGCTTGCAGATGGAAGATTATGGGTCTTCTAGGCCTCCACAAACATGTGAGTCATTCCTTATATACTGATATTAAATCATGTAAGTATATGGATTATGAGTATATCTGGGAACAATGCATATATATGTATCGATATACACACATATATATACACACATGCACACACACTATTGGTTCTGTTTTTCTGGAAAACTCTGAATAATAAACGAAGCTGGCATTGATGTAGAAAGAAGAGTGTAGTGGGTAAGCTGTTGCTAGTAGTTCTCTTGTTGATGAAATTGTCTTGGTTTAGGGTCCCAAGTTATAAGAGAACATGTCTGGTGCTGCACATATCAAATAAGAGAATGTATGTGCAATCGCTTGGTAAATGTGAAAGCACTGTACAAGTAGCAAGTCTTCCTATTACTCGAGTATAGCTACCTTACTGCATGATCTATTTTACTGACTACAATTTTTAGAGCAGATGACCACATCATTGAATCCCCATTAATCATAGATCCAATTATCCAAAGAGCAGGGAACATCGAAGAACTGGAAGAGGCTTCAAGACTAACTAATCCAATTTTCTCACTTAATAGATAATGAAACAAAAGCCCAGCCAGGAAAACTCATTTCTGCAAGATGGCACACTTGGCTTGAGGCAGAAACAGGGTTGGAGATCCCAAATCCATGCGCTCTTAGCTCCCAAACCAAAGATCTCTCCAATGTCAGTCCTGGGAAAGCCAGGTTCTCAGGGCCCCTATAGCAGATGGCCTTTGCTAGGGGAAGAGGCCCATGAAATGAGACCTGGGGGTTGGGATTTGTACTCAGTCAAGTGAAGATGCTGAAGGTTGGATGGGGGAAATTCTCAAGTTCCCAAGAGACTGTCTGAAGTGGACTCGGTGAGGGAACAGAAGCCCAACACAGGCTCTTTCTTCTCAGTTTAGGAAGCTTAATCTTTTTTTTTTTTTTTTTCCTGTTTCTCCTCAGAAACAGAAACTGAGGATTTGCGCAGTGTGGAGCTCAGGGTCCACCTTGTGGGAAAACTCTGCCTGCAGTTTCCATCAATTCTGAAAACAGAGCTTCATTCTTTCTCTTCTCTTGTTCACACAAGTCCAGGAGAAGGGTGTGTCTACAAAGCAGTAGAGTAGGCAGCGTCTGCATTATGCTTGCCTGTGCCTCTCTGGGGTCAAGGCCAGGGTGAGGAGAACATTCAGTATCCTATATAGCCATATAGCTCGTGTATAACAGCTCATGTCCTTTTGCTCAGTTCTTTAGCATGTATCTGCATCTCTGAAGAGGTCACTGAAGTGCTAAGAGACTTCTTGCCTCTGGAGGCAGGCAGCCTATATGCTGCTTGTAACTATGCTATTCCTAATAAGGCATTCAACCTCCTTGTTACTTCCCTTCACTCATCAACCCTTCAGGAACATCAAAACAGCTCTATTCCTTATTGTATCTGCCCTTCAGATGTCACACCTCAGAAATTCAACCCCCAGCCCACAGGTCCCAAAGGCAATTCAGATCAAAAGACCAAAACCCCACAATTTACTACTGATTCAAACAGGTTCTTATAAAACACACATCCGAAAATATTGCCATAACCAGATTTTCACTGAAATACACATCCAAACAGGATAAAAAGGAGGTCCCCTTGCAGAAATCATAAATGATAGCACACCTTGCCCATCCTCCTCTGACCACTTTTCCTATGCCTGTGCTCTATTCAAGAATCCTTCCATGCATGAGCTATTTTTATTTGCAAATGGCAATTCTTCTTCCTGTAGCCTTATAGTAGATATTTTTCATGTTTTCCATGAGATAAACATCACCTCTGACCCTGGTCCATGAGTAATCTAAACACCCATTTGAAGAAACTGGTATTTTTCAAAACATTGACAAGAGAAGGAAATACAGAGAGTATCACATGCCCAGAGGTCAGGTCAAGTAAGGAAGCTAAGCCACCTGTGACTAGTACTATCATTGTTACCACTTTCTCCGCATGTACCAAGTATTTTACCTGAACATAATTTTGTTTCCGAGCATACTAGTATTCTTCAAGTTTTTCCTTCTGAATTTTTTTTTCAAAGGTGACATGGAAAAATATTGCAGCATCTGCACATTTATAAACACATGCACAACCTTTATCAATTATCTCAATTTGTTAGCCTTTGTTATCCAACACTTCGGTACATCAAGTAAAACTTCTTTGCTAGATTTCATCTGCCCTAGGATTTTTTTCTTTTAGTTATTTAATGTAAAAAACAAAAGAGTATATACTGGCTGGGTGTTGAGAGTGGAGGGGTGGAGGGAGAGGAGGGACAGAGAGAGATAAAGCGACAAGCCTCCGCCTCTCAGGTCCATGAATGTCCAGCTGGAGTGACAGGTGTGGGTAAGTGGTAGGTGCTGTGGGAGGCCTGGGCCACCAGAATGTCGCAGGCACTGATGGCGTCACTCATCCCCTTGTTGAAGGAGCAGAAGGTGGATTTCCTGGAACGAGGGACGATGCTTGGTGTCTCTTCTCCAGCAACTGAGCATCAGCTTATACACAGAGTCAGGGCAAATGGCAGGCTGGGGAAGGTAAGTCTTTGGAAACAAAAATGAACAAAAATGAGTTTAGAAGAGTGGGCGAAAGGAAGAGGAACCACTTCATAGCTTGATTTCCCCCTCCTTACTCTCTTGCACTGGTAAGTGCAATCGGTGTGGAGTCTATACTTCCTACTCACAAGAATTCAAAATCCTATCAGCCCCTTTCCCAGAGTCCAGTCTAATTTTCTGCAACAGGATTTCCTCATTTTTACCATCACATAAAAGAAGAAACCCAAGTGGAAAGAAGTCTCAGGCTGGAAAGCAGGTGGTTAGAACACCCACTATGTGGGTATGGCCCTTGTGGAGGTTCATGCTGACGGAATCTCTTGTCAGGGTCAGAAAAGTTATCAGTGGCCTCCACTCTGTGACTGGAAGGACTTTAGTAAGATTCAGAACCTTGGATGCAAGATGTACCCATTCACCCCTAACTACAGTGTGCTCTATGTCCCCTACCGAATGCTGGATTCAAGTGTATTTCTGCTTCGTTCCCAACATATGTGCGCTTACCCTCCCTGCAGCCATGCCCTGAACTCCAGCCTGAGCTGCATTCTGCGCTCACCCCAAAACACCCAGTAACTATCTCTGCCAGGGACAAGATGCCACTCGAGTGACTCCCACGTCATCTGCTCCTCCGTGCTGTCATCTCCTTACTTATGTTTTTAAGTATCTGGGTATAATTATACAGAAATGTCCCAAGTTCCTTGAACCTGAGTCCAGCATCTGCAGCTGATCATTCCTTCACTACTCCCCCCTGCCCTGCCTTCTCCCAACACCAGTCTCTATCATGCATCTTAGGACAGGTGCTTTCCCTACACAGGATGCTTCTTCTCTCTGCCAAACAATTCTTAGCTACCAAGTAAAATACAAGTAACTCTTACTTCTGTTGACTATCAGAAAGAGATCTGACAAGCCTTAAGTTGGTGTTAAAAATGACTATAGTTAGAAAATACCAAGCGCTTAAAAGGAAGTTGTTTTTTGTTTTTTTTTTTATAAATAAGGAAACAGGTTAACAGGCATTCTCATATACTATGATGAAACTTAAATCTCTTAAGCCTTTCCTGTGGTGTTTGCTATAAATTTAGAAAAAAAAAATTACCTGGTTTGAGTCAACAAAATTCAATAAATTTGAAAAATAAATAATTTTAATCATTAGGGTTTCCCTTTTCAGAATCATATAAACTTGGACAGTAATTAAAGTTATGATTCATAAAATTTTTTACTGTACTTGTAGAATTTTATTACCTATGGCAATTTTAAATGAAATAAAATTTAAATTGCATTTAATTTTTAGTTATTTTATTCTACTTAAACCAGGAACTCTCAAAAAGTACTATTTGAGAACTCTTCACATTTTGTAAAGACGAGTTCAATGAAAAATCCTAAAATATATGTTCTAATTACTGGCACTACTACTAGAGACTTCCAAGACATTTTCAGTTGAATACAGTTTAAGATTTGCCTAAGCTATAAAGCTCTAAGTATGAAATTCTTCCTTGAACTCACTGCTGTAAAGTCTTCTTTACATTTTGTTGCCACACTCAGTAAGTTGGTGTGACTAGCTACATCATTCAAAAATCAGCCAGATGACACAAGTGTAATCTGGTGGCTTTAGAAATCACCTATCAGCTGAGAGCACTGAGCGCCTTTTAGCCCTATAGTCAAACTTGGGAAATCTGAATACTAAATTTTAAGTAGCTAAACTTTGTAAAGTTTAAAGTTAAATAAATATGTAATGAGTTCTCTTAAGTTTGTGTGTATAAATTTAATTTTAATTATTTAAAAACTTCAACTAATGCTAGTAGGTGCTAAGTTTACACTGCATATATAAAGGTAGTATTTGGTTTTGACCTTGGTTTCTGTCAAATATTTTACTTGGTAGTTAGTTACAATATATTTGGTTTACCACTAGTGTTTAGTGAAGGTAAAAATGGAATATTTTCACCTGAGTCTTTAAAAAGAAGTAAGAAAAATAAATTCCTGGAGAGTAGAACTTCCATTAAGTGATTAAAGAAAAAAAAAAAAACAAACACAGATCTCCCTGGTTGCCTAGGGGTTAAATAGCAAGCAACGCTATCACCTCTATGGCCTGAGTTCGAACCTTAGTCAGGGAGTGACCCACATGGCACAGGGGACCTTTCCTCTCTTGCCCGCTGCTCCCCTCAGCAGTGTTTTTCAGTAGATCCACCTGTTCTGCTCCCTGCTCTGTCTCTGGTGAATCCTCCCACCACTCCCCACCTGGGCCTACAGCCAGCTCCAATACCAAAAAAAAAAAAAAAAGAAAAAAGATTATTCATACTTTTAGAAACAATTTAAAAAAAGTGTTTCCTTGTGAAATTAGTGAAATTAAATGATGTAACATTTGCATAATTAATGTGGAACATTTTGTTGCTAAGTAAAATTTGTATAACATCAAGAATTTTTTTTAAAGATTTATTTATTTGTTCATACAGAACTGGGGTACAGGCCAGAGGCTCAGGGGTGGTGAGAGGCTTCACCAGAGACAGAGTGGAGAGCAGAACAGGCAGATCTACGAAGTACACTGCTGAGGGGAGCAGCGGGCCAGTTAGGAGAGGTCTGCCACGCCACATGGTCACCTCCAGGGCAGGCGGGAATCGAACTCCTGCAGAAGTGGCTTTAGCTTCTCAGTGCAGTGCTTTAACCCGCTGTGCCACCAGGGAGGGCCAACATCAAGAATATTTTTAATGCAAAAGAGATAGGGAAAGGGCAGAATAAATCTTTCTTTTGCTGAATATTTACTCCAATTTTGCCTTACGTAAGCTCTTTTGTCCTGGAGGATTTCAGCCACTGAATATTAAGTCAAAGGAAAGTAAACAGGTCAAAAATAGCTCTTCCATTACCTCTAACTCCAGGGCACAGTGCAATTAGAACCATTGTTGTCATGGCTAACATTACATTTTCCAACTGAACACACCACTTTCAACTGCCCACGGACTTCCAATAGGTCAGTAGGGTGGCCATTCAGAAGAAAAAACCTTTTCCTTGGTCTACCCACTTACCTCAGACATATAGGAGCAAATCAGCCTTTTGTAATAGTGACAAAGTAATTCTCTCATGACCCAGAGATATAACATAGTTCTCCTTGTAACAAAAATAACTTCAGAATATCAAGATAAAATTAAATTCCAGGATGCCCGACCTTATTTCCACCCTATACATTGCATTATCTCCAGCTATTTCCTTACCTTCTGCTTGTATGGATCTATTAAGTCATGGAGGAGCCATCTTTTAGTTCCTGCAAGAGCCTCCTCCCTCTCCCCTGTTGTTACCATTTCGTTGCCTGCACTGCTGCTCTCCAAGGGGGTGGCCAGTGGCCAGGCTCTCTTGGGCCATGCTGGGGTGCTACCACCAGCAAGTTGTAAATCCTACATCTCACAGGAACTTTAAAAACTGAGCCACCCAAAGAAATCCAGGAATACCTTGGCTGGGAACTGGAACACTTGTCAAGCTGGAAACCCAATTTTTCCTGAGTCCTGGGAGGCCACTGCAGTCGGCACAGGGGGCCTCCAGAGTGGCCAGTCCAGGATACGCCTAGTCCTCTGCAGACTGTAGCAACATTGCTAACTAATGTTTTAACAAACACCAATAAATCATGTGTTCACTTTTAAGTAGATGTCTCTGTTCTTATCATTTTCCACCAGGAAGACAAACCCCAGAGTCTAGACCAGGAACATAGTGAACATGTGAGCAAGCTTTTCCCCCGGCATCTCTGAAGTGGGGACGAGGATAGGGGGATCCAATGTGATCCCTTCTCCTCCAACGAACATAGGTTGACATGTGTGTACACTGACTTCTGGACAAGACCTGGGCCTTTCACATACCAGGGGACTCCCACCCTGGGAGCCCATCTTCCAGATCTGGCCTATTTTACTACATCAGAACTTTACTTCTCTGTCCTTCATGAGCATTTGAGTCCAAGTCTAACAGTTCTCACCTGCCTCCCTTGGTCTCGGAAGAACTCTCCGGTATTCTCGATGACCTGTTCATCCGACAACTGGGAGTAGGGCTGCTCCTGGCAAAAGGTGAACGTCTCCCAAAGGGTGACCCCAAAGGCCCACACATCACTTGCTGTAGTGAATTTGCCCTGTGTGAGTAAGGAATGAAGAGATGATTAGAATAACCTATGTACAACAAGAGAAAGTTACCATTTCATCACCTGGAGTCATTTCATCTCTTTCCTAGTGCTGGGAGTGCTGAAGCTGTGAGGAATGCAAGGAGGATCTAGAAGCTACCATGTTAGTTGTTTGACACCAGGCTTTAGGCCGTTTCCTCATCCTCACAATCAGTGTGTCAGTCTACTTCTCTTGGAGATGAGTGCCAGAGCTAAATGAGAAAGTCCTAGTCAACTGTCCCACTGAGTGTTCCATGATCAGGCTTTAGGATGTAGGGTGCCCTTGGGCTAATGCCCATGAAAAGGAGAAAGCAGCATGGAAATTAGTATTGGTTGCTTTCACACTAGAAAGAGGAATCTTGTTTAAGGATCTGGAGTGAAGCCAGAATTCTTACTTCCCAGTGTTTTGATAGTCACGGTCTTAAAAGATGAATTTTAACAAGTGACAATAATAAGATTCACATGCAGTCAGCAAGCATTAGATAAATTCACATTTTTCAATATTCAACAAATTCAAAACCAACAAGTAAAGGATAGTATTTATTCTTCTTTTCATATTAGAAAAGTGGGACAAGAGAGAGTCATTCAATTCTCTTAGTTAATAAGCTATCAGAGATTGAAAAACTAAGATTCAGACTATGAACCTCTGAGTCTCAGTCTAATAATCTTCTAAGTACCATGCAATACCTTGCAATGCTTAGCAGACACATTAGAAGTGGGTCAAATATATAATTCACCCATGAAGATGATTCAAAAATCTGTATAAGGATTTATATGAACTGTTATGTGTTGCAGCATCATTCATAATAGCAATAAATTGGAAAGTGCTTAAATATTCAATTATGGAGACTTTAATATTGAAATTATACTCTGCAGCCAATTATGCTTCTAAAAATATTTAACTACAGGGGAAATGCAAATTATAGAGAATTATATATGCAGACTATTACCCCAATTATGTAATATATAATATACACATATAGAATGCATACATTCTATAAATAGTTATGTACACAGAAATAAATCGATATATAGAAAAAATCCTCAAAGGAAATATATGAAAAATTAATAGTGGCTGTCTTGATGAGGGGAAGGAGAGAGTTTTATGTGTTTTTCTTTTTTCAAAATTAATTTGTGAATCCTGTGCAGATGTGAACAAGAAATAAACAGATTAACTATGAGTGAACAAAACAAGGTTGCTTTTGGACTTTTCTCTACAATATTAAATAACAAAAGATAAAAACATATGTGCACAGCATTGTAGAAATTTAAGTTTATAGTTGAATATTTCTATAAATCTAAGGGTCATTGGGGGGGGGGGAACATTCACTCATGGTCCAAAACACCAGGAGTTGAATAAAAATTACAGGATAGGATATGATGAATTTAAAATAAAAAGTGAGTGGTAACAATTATTAAAACAAAAATACAGGAAAAAAATCTGTAAGAAATTAAGTCTTTATAAAATAATAAAGTATTAACATAGTTATTAATATATAAGAAAATATTTGTGTGGTAACATCTTTTTAATAACTTTAAAGTATCCTAATGAAGACCAGTCAGTAAGTAGAAAAGATCAAGAGAAACTTTCCCCTCAAATTTTCTATAGTCATACTATATTTTGTCATCAGAAATAAGCAAGTGTTTTGTTTTATTTTTTTAAAAAGATTTATTTCTTTACACATACAAGAACTGGGGTGTAGGTTAGAGGTGCAGAGGTGAGTGGTTTCACCATAGACAGTGGGGAGAAGAAAAGGTAGGCTGATGGAATACACTGCTGAGGGGAGCAGCAGGTAGACAGGAGAAGTCTGCTGCGCCATGTGGGTCAGCTCTCTGGCCAGGGATGGAACTCGTGCTGCAGTGGCTGCGGATAGCTTTATGGTACTGTGCTTTAACTTGCTGCACCATCAGGGAGGGCCCAGAAATAAGCAAGTGTTTAAAAATAATTATTTGTATGAAAACAAAACCATTTGAAATCAGATAAAATGGCACAATTCACTGTCTGCTTCCTGCTCTCTCGAGTTTGTCCCTAGTTACCAGTCCTGGCTGGTCCCCACCCCACCCCCTGCACTTGCTAGGGTGAGGCTTAACAATGCTGGGAACTCACCAGCAAGATGCTTTCCCAAGACATCCAGCGAATGGGGAGCACTGCCCGGCCCTGGATCCGGTAGTAGTCTCCACTGTACAGGTTTCTGCTCATCCCAAAGTCAGCTATCTTAATGGTGTAGTTCTTTCCCACTAAGCAGTTTCGTGTGGCCAGATCTCGGTGGACAAAATTCAGAGAGGAAAGGTACTTCATGCCAGAGGCAATCTGAGTAGCCATGAACTTCAAGTTGACATAACTGAGGAAATATGTAAAAAAAAAAAAAAGAGAAAACCAGAGAAAGTAGCTTATGGATAGAGGAAGCTGTGAAAGACACATAATCTAAAGTTGCTACCAACAAACTGGATTTTAACCTCAATGTGCCTCCTCTCTTCTTATATATATTTTTAAAGATCTGTTTTTATTTATTTATGCATACAAGAATTGGGGTGCAGGTCAGAGGTGCAGGGGCATGAGAAGATTCACCAGAGACAGAGCGGGGAGCAGAACAGGCAGATGTACTGAAAATCACTGCTGAGGGGAGCAGCAGGTGAGACAGGAGAGGTCTGCTGTGTCATGTGGTCACCTCCCTGGTCAGGGATCAACTCATGCTGCAGTGGCTGCACGTAGCTTGATAACACTGAGACTTTAACCTTTGCACCACCAGGAAGGCCCTCTCTTATATTTTTAACATAATAACATTGGTTTATAACGTTATTTAGGTGTCAGATACACAGGCTTATGTTCACCACTAGAATTCTAGTCTCCATCTAGAGCTCATAAAGCTGAGCCCTTTATGCTGATATACCCACCATCTCTTTACCTGTCCTTACCAAACCTCCACGCTTTCCCCCAAAGGCCAGCTGTTCCATCATTCCCTGCTCAATGACTTCAGCCCACAGTCCCCAAACATGGATAAACTCCATCTTCAGTTCCTAGGTTAGTGTCATAGACAGAGAAATAGGAGGAAGACCTATGTGCTTACCTGACAGTGGGTGCATTGCTAGAAGAACTGGGGGGTTCATGGCGGGAAAGAAACTGATTGAGGTCTCCATTCTCCATGTACTCGGTGATCATGCACAGAGGATCCTCAGTGATGCACACAGCCAAGAGGCGGATAATGTTTGGGTCTTTGAGCCGGGACATGATTTTGATCTCCTTAAGAAAGTCATTCCTTTGGAGGACAGACATAGATAGACCCATAGGTTCTTGGAGTTAGAATCAAGGGAGGGAAGAAGACACAGCACAGCCCTGCCCACCACCAAGTCTAGTTTCTCTTTGTACAACCTTACAGAGGGTCGAGAAACTGGAGCCTGTATCTATCATAATCCACTCCTTCTGGAGCACGATGCACCCTTACTCAATTGTGATCTTTCTGGGAACACATACTATCAGTGAGTGACATTTCCATCCTCAGTAGCCAATGAAGGACCCAACACATAGAAAGTGACTCAAAATGACTCAGAGTTGCTGAATCAAATATATGTTGCTAAATGCTATTCTGCAGAATAAAACTTTTTCCTGCAAATTGTATCTGAAGTGCACTGGCGTATTTACCTTTTTAAGAAGTCATGTGTCCCTATTAAAGTGAAGCAACCTCTTAGAAAATGAATGATCCCCATCTGGTTTATCTGCTAGTTCTCTATTTTCTCACAGTGGCTTTTCCTAACACAGGGTGCACCCACAGTCACTTTGCAACATACATTTAGAAACAGAGCTATTTAAAGATCACGGTGGTAAGTGGGGTCATTTCCAAAGAAGTACTAGCTTGGCCAAGACTAACAGCTATCTGAGTACATGGTGACAGCCATTCTTGAGTCACAAAATGGCTATAACCTTCCCTGTGGCAATATTTGGCTTAGTGAGACCACTAGGCCACATTCCCACGACTGTCAGAACCAATCAGTGGTAAGTGTTCTGTGAGTTTTCTAGGAATCTCGGTCTGGGAGCCACAAGATGTTAACATCAAACCCTTGAAATCAGTGTAGTGCGAATGCACAAACTCCCCTTTTTCATTTCCTCTTCACCCCTAAACAAGGGGTTTCCATGGCTCAGGAGAGCCAAGCCCAGGCTCCCCATCATTATAAACTGTCAGGGAGCACAGGTCTTTACCACTGTTTGGGTTGGCGAGGTCTGGTGCCTTCAGATCCAAACAGTGGTAAAGACTTTGTCTTGTGGGTTTTTTCTTCTGGTCACATTCTCAATTGTGTGCTGAGATTCCTTTGAGAACCCTCTATATCTCTAGGACACCCAGAGATGTCACTTTTCATCCATACTAATATCCCACAGGTTGAGTATCACAGTTAAAATTCTCAGACTACCACAATTCTGCTCCTCCTCTTCTTCTTTTCATACCCTGCCAATCACACAATTTTTAATGAAACCCTATTACCATTCTTTGAATTTAAGATAATTTCAGAAATAGGAATAAAGTTTCTCTCACTTGGGATATCAGTGAGCAAACCAAGCCAACACAGATGGGAAATGCATGTGTTACCCAGATGTGCAGATTTCCCTACAACACATGCAACCAGCTTTCAACCAGCATGCCTCTCTGGGTGAGGATTAACTCACCATTACTGTAATGGAAAGGCTGTCAGACAACGGAGTATGGCTGGAAACTGCAATTTATGTAGTAAAAATCCAAGAGCTTATTAGCCAGTTTGGAAAACTGCTAAAGGATTGTGGATCCTTTTGCTTTGTGGTCCATGAATATTTTCCCAAGTAGAGGTAGCTTCTCATTTAGGGGGGTTGCTGGACATAGAAGAAAAGGAGCATAAAAGAGAAAAAAAGGAATGATAAAGTAAATAGAGATGTAGCTATAAAAGGAGAATTGAGGAAGTTTAGCAAGAAAGGTGTGTAATTGTGAAAAATTTGGCATGAGGAGAAAATGAGAGTCAGGAATATATCTAATAGATCAAAGGGACACATATTCAGACTGTCATGGACACTGGGAAGTACAGTGTTGTGCATAGGGTTTAGGAAGGAACAATGTGGCCAATCCAATGGGAAATGTACATCTGTGTTGAGAGAAATAGAGACCAGGATGAGGAGGGTGACCCAATTGGAAAATAAAGCATCACAGAAACACGAGACAGATCACAGACCTTCTCATCTCAAGAGAAAAAAAACTACTCAGAAGTTTCCAGAAGTCCTGATCCTGAAGATAAAATACATAAAGGTAAATGCAAAATGCAGACCACAGACCTGGCATTCTTGTTGGCATCTGCTCGGAGCATTTTCACGGCCACCAGGACAGGCTGGTTGGCACTGACATCTAGGGCAAAATCTTTGTCTTTGAACTTTTCCATTCCCTCCACTTCACAGAGATGAACCTAGACAAAAGTCATCTAGTCTCAGCATCATCAATTCTCCTGAAGATGTCTCAGTACTCTTGCTGGGCATTTCCTGGAGATAAACTAACTCTTACAACTCAGGCAAAATAATCAAAAGACCGATAAAGCCTATATGTGTAACATATCCTTGACTCAAATAACTGATGAAGACAATAATAAAGTACCCAGCTATTTGGATATGTTACTGCTTTAAAAAAGAATTACACATTGATTGGAAAACTAAATACATGAATGAATGAACACATAACAGTATTTTATTGTATCAAAGCCCACTATAAAATGTCATTTAGTATAAGTACTGTAACTTTGATTTAAGGAAGGCTAGCTACTACATAATATATAACATAAATATAAGATAATTTCCTCTTTATGGAAGCCACTTAGTATGAGGTAAGCATGATAAACAACCTCTATGTATTCATCTAATAAGTTGCATTGTGAAACGAGGAAACAGAGTGAGTATATATTATACCACAAACGTGTGCTGTGGACTCTTCTACTGTACTAGCACCAAACCCATCATAAAGCAACCCACCCACACTGAAAACCAGTAACGCATTCTTTTGAAAATAAGTATGATATTTGGAGTTTGGGTGGCATTGTTGAAGAGCTCCTATTACAACGTAATCATTGTTTTGAGTTCTCAGAAGTTTCTTGGGACTGATGTAAGAGTGAAAAGCCAAATATTACATGCTTTGAAAAGAGTTCTCCACCTTAATCTAGTTGCAGATTCATTCCCTAGTGGCTCATTCTAGGGCCAGATGCAAGGGTGAGGTTGTTTTTGACCATTTTACATATAATATCCACTAAAAGGGAAAAAACAAAGTGACTATCAGTAGCAGGGTGTTCTTGGATAGTTTATAAAAGATGATCATATCATATCATATGGGCCCCACCCAATTATAAAAATTTGAAAATATTGAACATTTTTCAGGATATCTGCAAGACTAATGACTAGTCTGCTTTGAAAAACCCTATACAGAAATCAGAAGAGCCAGGAACTTCACAGCTTTGTGATAAAAATGAAGAAGATCCAGTATTATCTTTTAGCGGAAGAACGAGTGCAGGAAATATTCAAACATGAACCTCTCTTGGACCGGACACTTTATTCTACTGATCATTTTTATTCAGTCACTTCCTTTGAGCTACCAAGCACTGGCAGCCCCATTCAAACAATCAACTCACCTCCCCAAACTGGCCTTCTCCCAGCTTCTCCTTGAAAGTTAAGAGCTTCCTGGGGAACTCTTCCACAGCCACATCTTTTCCTGAGAGCAGGTCCATTGTAACGGCGGGCACTGAGTAGGTGTTGCCTCCTGTCACCCCCTGGAGGTTCACAATGTCAGCCTCGGCATAGTGGGGCACCCCTTCAGGCCCACTGGGCTGGACTGGCTTCACAATACCACTGCAGCCTGGGAAAACAAGGGCAATGAGACAAGCTCCTGCCAAGGGCATCTCTGGAGATCTCTTCAAGGCAGAAAATTTAAGAGTACTAGAATCTTCCCAAGACAGCATCCTCCACTCTCTAACACTCTTACTTGGCAAGTGGTTTCTCTGGAGACTCTGGTGTTCTTCAGAATGTAGTCACTCATCTTTAGTCTTTTCTCCAAACCACATGAACATTTGCAACCTCCTTCACTAATCTTGTGGAATTGTGTAAAGCTCTAGAAAATTTCATGTTATATTAAAGTGGGAATAGTAAGGTCTAAAGATTTAACAGCTCATTTCCTTAAGACACTATCAATGCTTTAATAGCCTATTTTAAAGATTGAAAAAACTTTCTGATTGCATTGATAAGATCTAGTTTAAGATAGACCCTAATATTAAAATACCAGGGGGCAGGGGAGGAGGAGGAGATGTGTTAGACTTCACAAACTGGTAAATTGTATCAGTTCAGGCTAGGAAATAAGTTGGTTTACATTTTTTTAATTCTTGTTTGTGCAAAAATTCCCAGTATTCAATATGGTCCTTCAGTGTTCTCTATCTCTGAGTGGTAAATACATGTCAGTTTCCCCTCTTCCTTGGGAAATAGTCCTTGAAAAGTCTGTCCTCAGAGCTCTCAGCTAGCTCTCTCCTGACCACTGCTCTTCTGCTGACTTGGGTTAATCTTCATTGCTGACCTCACAACAGAGCTGTTCTGCGTTCAGTCAGGACCCAACACCCCTCTGCTCTCAAGAAATACTGGGGTAAGTCAACTGATACTGTTTTGTAATGTTTTGTGGAGAAAAGACAAGAAATAAGACTCTGGAATAAACTCTTGTTTTGTTCTCATATATTCTTTTTCTCATTCAAGAGAAATCAGCAAATTACTGCGGTGGTTAAAAACACTGAGAATTCGGGCCCTCCCTGGTGGCGCAGCGGGGTAAAGCACAACACTGAGAATCTAAAGCCGCTTCCGCATGAGTTCGATTCCCGCCTGCCCCGGAGGTGACCACATGGCGCGGCAGACCTCTCCTGACCCGCCCGCTGCTCCCCTCAGCAGTGTACTTCGTCAATCTGCCTGTTCTGATCCCCACTCTGTCTCTGGTGAAGCTTCTCACCGCCCCTGAACCTCTGGTCTTACCCCAGTTCTGTATGCACAAATAAATAAATCTTTAAAAAAAAAAAAAAAACACTGAGAATTCTATGATGTCTTTAACTGCATTAATATTTTTTTCTCCAGGTGAAATTCTAGTCCTGAATTTACCCTTGATGATATTTGATATTGGCAAGTGCTTTACCTAGTCTTTTCACTTTCTTCCTATGTAAACTGAGGAGAGTGGGCTAGTTTGGACTACTCAGGTTCTTGCTTATTTTCTTCCTCTTCTGACAGTGTGTCCCTCCAAACATCTGCTATGTTCAGTAACAAAGAGAGGAGCTCTGATTAAGATGGGAACAGCAGCAGATCATATATAGAAAGAGATCACATCGTAGAATTTTCTAGACTAAAACAAGATAGGGTTAGGGAGGAGCCATGAGTCACACCTTTGTCATGCCTGTTACTGCTTCTCCTCCAATTCACACCCACTCTTTTATCCTCACCTGACTCTTCCTCTCCTGGAGCAAATTCAGGAAGTTTTCGTATCAGCCTGGATGGCTCTTGGTAGTCAGGGCGGAGGGGAAAGATGCGATCATATGTGGAGTTGGACTCTTGCTCACTTGGTGATGAGGAGCGGTTATTATTGAACATGCTGGACTCACTCGGCAGGGAAAGGCTCACTGTCATTTCATCATCCAGCATCCTCCGGGAGGCCTACAAGAGGAGGGTGGGGAGAAAGGCTTGTTGACACAAAAGGCATTAACACCTCCTCTTCATTCTAAACCCAGCTCTTCTACACCCATTATTGTTTTAAACTCCAGGAACCCTGTAAATGACAGAGACACAAACTAGTTCCACAAATGCCTATATGGTAGAAGATTAGAATAATACTCATTTCTTTTAAGCAGAGTTTAAATTAATTTCTGTGCTTCTAGCAGTCTCTGGCTTTCATCAAAACATTGGGAAGCATTATTTACACAACACTTCAAGAAATTATCAGTAGACACTCAGAGAACTCTTCGATCATCTAGTTTCCAACGTTTTATTCAACAATGGATTTTGTTGATTTATCTTCAATTACCTTGATTTTGTGTAAACATAAATTAAAATGCTCATTAACTCAACAAACATTCTGGAACAAGATAAAAAGTAGTTCATTTGAAAATTTTGGCTCTGCAGATTAGAATACTCCCCAACCTCACACTTGGACTAACCAAAGATAAAATAACTGTAAAATGATAAAGGAATAGTGTTGGGATATGGAAGTGGATTATACTCCACATAGAAACAAGTAAGAGAAATAAAAAAACTAGCTACTTGTGCATGCTACCTGTCACCTGCCTGCTCTTTTCCAAAGAAAAATGCCAGGATCTAAATATACGCGACTGTTTGTATTAAATATGTAAGATGTTTCACTCCAACAAACACACTTTGCATGCCAGATGGAGAAACTGTATGGGAACAGAAAGAATTTCTTGAAGAGCAACATTATTTAAGGGCAAAGTTTTTATTCTCTCTTTCACCTAGAAAGCCTCCTATCAAACAATCTGCTCAAAGACCCAAGTTTTTTGACTCCACTGAAGAGAAAAACAGCTCATAGAGTAGAGAACAACAGACCACTCTCCTTAACTAAAATGTTGTCCTGACTATTGATATTTAATAAGACAATCACATATCACCTTCAAGCTTTGACACACTACCACCACTCTTTGCTATTCCTCACCCAGAGAGTTACACATTGTTTGTTCCTGCATTATCAAAGAGCAAAGGTAGTGATATTACTTCATCAAGCCAGTGGGTGAACCCTTTGAGGACTCTGCCTTCCAGTTTCAATCATTACAGATTGAAAGCTTTAATTCAGGGGGTCAGTGTTTTCAGTAGGATGATAGAGGTCCTTGTGGGAAGCAGAAAGATCCCCATTTCTGTGACCTATTCCTGCCTAAGAACCTTAAGCTAGACCTCTGCTGTCGTAGGATCCTGGATGTGGAATAGATAGAAAGGAATTGCAGGCTACTTCTCTGGGTCATCCCTCCTACTTTGACTTGAGTCCCTTCTCTCTTGTCCTACATTTAAAGAGTTCCTCAGATTCAAGCTCATTTTCAGGAAGCCCTTTCCTCTCATCTTCTATATACCCCATGCAGGCATTGGCTTCTTTTGTAACCACACCTTAAACATAGGGATTAATCAGTCTACACCCTCCCTACCTTCAACAGCCAGTTCAAAGCCTCACAGTCCAGAGCTCCTATGACCCTTCAAAGTAAAATTCTATTTTATTTTATTGATGAGGGAAAATATCTTTTACCAAAGGAAGACATAATTATCAGCAGACCCCAAGAGCATCAGACACCTAGCATCAGGGTCCAGAGTTTTTGTATCTGACATGAAAAACCAAGAAAAGTCAGATGTGTTCCATCTTTGGTGGAATATATGCATTCTAGAAGAAAAGAAGTCAAAATATTTCAATATTGACAATTTCAGAGAGCACAGAAGACAGGCTATCAGTTGTATGCCTGTGAGCACATAACATTTCCTCATCAGAAAAAGATAAGGAGACTACCTGCCATTACTCAATGAAGTTCATAATATATGCAAAAAAAAATTTGTTGAGTATTAGAAAAATGCAATATAAATTATTCAGATCATTTCATCTGCACAAAAATTGTCTGAAGAGGGGACTCAAAAGATTGCATATTCATAACTTAAAGTACACCAAGAAATATGAATTGACTTATGGAAAACCTGAGTTAGATACTAAATGAGAAGAGGTATTTTTCTATGTCTCACCACACCAAAATAAAATTAATAAACCATAAAAGAACAGACACTATGCTAGAAATCTTAGCTAGATATTAGTGGTGCACCAGAAGTATTCGATATTTTTATATATTACAAAAAAAGAGAGATTTCTGCCTTCCCCCAAACCCAGTGTTTCAAACTCTTCAAAGGAAAATATGAGTTGAGATTGAACATGTTCAGAAGAATTTTCTAGGAAAGTTCCACAATCTCCATTCTATAAAATGAGAACATGCACTTGTTTATTCTTTTCTTACTCCTTTAAGCAACAAGCTTCTCCATTTCTATTTCTTGATAGCCTCAGTTCACTCTCAAGCCATTCATACATTTTTATAGTTTGCTTTTTACTCCTGAGGTAACAGCAACTCTGTTTTGCACCTCACCTTCTCCAGCATTTTCTGCCAGAACTGTCTCCAGAGGATGATGACAATGATGGCCAGAAGGATGAAGATGATGGCTACCAAGCAGCCAATCAGGATCCGGGTGTTGCTGTCATCAACTTTAAGCATTGGATCTGTGACCAGGAAGACAAAATGAGAACATTACCATCCTGTAGAGCAAGGAAAAGCAAGAGGGACTGGACTAGAGACAAGGAGGTTGAAATTGTTCCTTCAGGGTCATTCCATAAGAAGGGACTATAACACCTCCTATGCTTTGTCTTACTACACCTGAAAAGACTTTCTTCCTTATCCTTATCCAGTACTCCTTCATGGACAGTGGCCTCTTCCTCCCACATCCAATTGGATAATGGAGAGAATTTTCATTCTTTCCCAAATTGCATTCTTTTATCACAATGACAGGAACCTATGACCTCAATCATACCTCATGAAAAACAAGTGAAGGACCAGTTTCACAATTACCAAGGTAGACAAGGTAGCTGAGGTCTCTTAAAGACCCTTGATTACATGTTTCCCAGGTTGCTTTTTCAAGCCATTCACTACTTGAAACATTTGAGATGTTTTCATATATTATCTCCAGTTAGAGAGACTAGTGTTCTGGTTCAGTGCCTTGGACAGCTCCACTGAGACCATAGCTGAGTCTCATCTAGAAATGTACTTGCCCCCTGTTTCTGCTCCAAGTTCCCCAACCTTTCATGAAGCAGTTGGAGCAAGTCCAGACTCTCCCTCACCTGCAGGATCATATGAAACAGCAGTAAAGAGAGTGGGTTTAGACCCTGAATACTGGAGTGGACCATCCTCTTTCCAAGACCACTCTTCATTCAGAACTACCTGGGATCTAACAACCTACACAGTCAGGCCATTGCAAATCTCCACCCTTCTTCATCCTTAGGAGCTCTTTCAACTAATTTTTATAACTGGGAATCACACATACCATAGGTGGTGGGTGCCACAGGTGAAGTGGGCAGAGCTCCAGAGTTGTTGTACATTGCAGCATCTGTTACAAAGTAAAAATGAGTCAGACTTACATAGTGTTCAATACACTATGAAATTATTTCAGTGGGTTGCCACCAGCTTTTCTTAAAAACAAAACATTATGAGATATTAAATAAAATATTGCCACTGATCTATAAAGGAAGGGAAACTTTCATTTATAAGTAAAGTGTTATCTTTATAGTTAGACTATTAGCATTAATGCCATTTATTACGATGTTGCAGCTTCTAAGACTTGAATATTGAAGCCTATTTTGCAGATTGATGTTGGCAACTAATTTTTCTTCTGATTTGCCTAATCAGACAGGTCAAGAATTAGAACATGCTTTTCCCACCTCAAGGACATTCCCTCCAAAAATCTTAATTTTCCTTCTTCTTAGCACTATCATATAAATAGTCAGGTATCTGACATTCACCAGTACTTTTCTGAATTGGATCCTCTGGTAAAAAGTATTGCTTTTAAAGCTCAGGCCATCCCTGAAGTCATAAACTGTAGTCCACAACTACAATTAGTTGTAATGATAAATATACTTATCTCTCTACAGAGAATCCTTAACAATGGATAAGAATCAGCTGTCCCTCCGTTACTATTTATAATGTAAATGCCTCTCTTCTTAAGCATCTAAATTTCTGCTCTTAATATTTCATATAAATTAATCATCCTACTTACTCAGATTAAATATTTAAAGGAAAAACACTGAGTCATCAAATCTTTTTCTAAATACATGCCCTATTTCCTTACAAGTGCATCTGAATAATAAAACATCTTGAAATTTTCTCCCAGTAACAATTAAACCAGAAAATGTGTATCTTTGCAACTGTCTCTACTCTCTTATGTTATTTTTTGCTTATATTTTTCTTCTAGACCTGGTACAAATCTCATCCCTTTGACTCTTTCCATTACAAATCCACTTTCTCTTTCTAATTATTTCTGGTTCCACTCTGAGTGCTTTCAAAAAGTCATTTTATAGGATCTTGTGATAGACAGACAATATCCTAGATGCCTTTTCACTTTTCAAACCTTGGTACAGTCCCTACTCCCCAGTTTTTGGTCTGTAAATATCATTCTCCACTAAAAGGAACCAAAACTGTTTGAGGCACTGATTGATTACACACCTGGGCAGTAAGTGCTTGAAATGAGTTTGGGTTATCTTTTCTTTTAGAGAATATACTTATGGAAGGCTTATGGGAAACCCAGAGAACACTGAGCCAAATGGAAGTTATGTGCTGTAGTTAAAAGTAGGACAATTTTGAACATCACAAAGAATAATAATTGCAATATTGGATAAACATATTGAAATTATAAAAACAACAAACACGTAATGACATTAAGAGACAAAACAGTGTTGTCAACAAGATTCATTAGACACCATTTAAGGTTGCTAGGACATCAAATAGTTACTTCAAAAATTGAAGGGAGAAAATTAATCATGTATCCTTCCCTTCCAGTGTCCTTCCGTGTAGCTTGTCCTTCCAATTTACATAAGATTTTGAATATACATTGTATTCTCATTTTAAAATCCTTATCTTTTAGACAAGTGATAACCAAGTAAATATTCTGTCCACTTTCACACCCTCATTCTTACCCTCCCACGATTAAAACTGGTTGCACAGAAGATTCCTTTGTCTACCACTGAGAAGCTGCCTTCTCTCAGACAACTGCCAGTGAGAAGCTCCAGATACAACTGGGAACTTCTTCCTTCATTATCCTGTTACACTTCCCCAGGAGCCCCTTGCTGCCTACCTGACTGGAAGGTGATCTCACTGAACATCATCCAGGTGTCAGCAAAGTGGTACTGGCACTTGATGGCACTGGCCATGCGATGGTGGAGGGGCACCGTGACAAACCGAGCGCTGGGGTTGACGTCATCCAGGACAAGGGGGAAGGACACGGCATTGGATTCCCACTCATTAGCTTCAGAGCGGAAGTAGCACTGCGCCTCCTTGAAGATCTTTACCCCTTTTGCAAACATGTTGTTGCAATGAACCTGGAAGAGAAACAGACATTGCAGTGACGGTGAAAATGCAGGGTGGCTGGGGGCATGGTACAAGCCAACCCAGACTCTAGACCTGCCTGCATCTCTGAGCACCAACCTCTGAGTTTTTGGTGAAGCACTGCTCTGAGGTCTCAGATTTTCCCTTCTAGAACTCCACAGTGGCAGTGATTGAGTAGTCTGGCCTGGTAGTCTGGGCTGCTACCATGTCACCTCTATGCAATTGTGTGCAACCCCATTTCATATTTCTTCATGGAGATAGTTTCTTTGTCTGTTCACTGATGGTTGGGCTAGCAAACTCTTGCCCTTACACTCCCAAGTCCACATTCTTCTCAGACATGGTTACTATCTGCCCAGAATCTGATTACTTTGAATACAAGTAAAAGGAAGACTTCTACTTTTACTCCTGGTACACCCCAAAGGCAATCTATTCCATTCAACAGTGGGTGAGAAGCCTAAAATAACAAAAATTTTTTTTTTAAAAAAGTAATCTTTTCCTTTAGGAATCTTTTCAAGTGTCATGCACCAGCAGATGGAGGCCCAGCTCTCGTCATTAAATTCAGCTTAGGTCAAGCCAGGCATTGCATCCACTTCATAGATATTTTGTGAAATGAGAAAAGGACATTTTGTAGAGAGCTTTCGGCCTCTGTCTGCCACCCTGACTCTCACCAGGACATTTGTGTGGCTCTGGGCATTCACAGGCACAATATTAGACAGCCGTTTCTCTGTGGTAACATCTGATGAACATCCCCGAAAATGTGCACACGTGTAGTTAGGGCAAGTCCTTCAAGGTAGCTCAAGGACATTTCCTGAGACTAAGTCTTACCTGGAGAATGGAGCTCTGCTGGTCGCTACCCTTGAACTTAAAGGTGTCACCAGTAAAGGAGCATCATTATCATTCTAGCAATATTTTGCTGTTCCCACATCAATGTCTTGCCTAGGTCTTAATGTTAGTCTTTGAACTGTCTCCCATGCCCTCCTCTACTTTCTGGATAATCAATACAAAACTACCACTCAGAATTTATTTTTAGCTGAAGCAGTAGTGGCTATGATTATAACAAGTTAATGATAAAGGCACAGGCCAGAAATACTCTGAAAGAACTGAACATTGTTGTTACTGGAGACTTTCAAAATCATCTAGTCCAACTCCACTTATTAATGAGTAGGTGGGGCTCAGGGATGTCTGACCAGGCCATAGTCAGTCCACAACAGAGTGGGGTCAGAAGCCCGAGACAGAGCAAGCAAACCTCCTGAACTTTTCCGTTTGTGTTTTCCTCTAGATGTTTTAATTATGAAAACATGTGTTAATACCCTCCTTGGGATGAATTAACTGTTCCAGTTTATTGAACACAAGTCAGTGGAGAATGGCTAAGAAAAAAGTCAAAGAAATACCATCTACAGCTTCAATAGATTTTTCAGATGTTTTGAAATCTGCCAAGTGTTGGCTAAGGAGCCTGTGGGGAGGTAATGATCTGTGCTACAGATGTTTGGGGAATTCTCCTGGAATGCAAATAAATTGCATAGGATTTCATTACTCTATGGACTTATATATTTATTTAATAAATACAATAAATGTTAAAGTACATTAGTGTATTTTAATGGTATCTGTTAAATACACTTCAGGGGAGGAAATGGGTAATAATTTGTCTCACTAGCAAAAACTACTCCCTGTAAGACATCAGCGACCTAAAAGTCATCTTTGCCTTTTTGTCTCAGAAAAATAAAACATGCCAGAATCCCATTTGGCCTTGGGAGAGCTGGCCCTGAATCAACTCCTTAGAAGTTTCTAGCACCTTCGATTACAGAGTATGCTTTTCAATTATTTTGACCTGTGATAAACTAGCTAAGCAGGAACTGCTGAGGACTCAGGAAGATCAAAGTCTATTAACTAAATTTTAAAACTTTACTGGGAATAAAAGATGCTCTATTGTTTTTGTGGGAGCAGAGATTCTACTACTGGCTTATAATGAATTGATGTAGAACTTCATAGGGGTACATGGACATACCCATAATCGAGCAACCCAAATACATTTTCTTTGGAAGTATATCCCTGTTACTATCCACATTCTCCTTCTCCTTGCCCAAAAGTACACACAGTTGTTTTACAACTACCTAAGAGCCACCCTTGAACAATAAGCCAGTAGATTAGGCAAATGTTGGTTTTTCTGTCCTCCTCTTAAGAGGCTTTTTATTTAACTAATAGTATGATCCAGAGATATAACCACAAGAGTAAGCAGGAGTAACACCACAGACATGCAATTTTTGGACTCCTTGTCTGTGTACAGAAAAAGAAATGGATTTACTATGTACCCTTAGTCATAACAAAGGTTCTCCTCCTCATCCATAAACAGGCTTTTCTCATTCAGCAGCACATTGGCTAAGGGCCATTTCTTATTCATCTGTTGACCCCCAAAATCTACCATAGTGTTATGTACAGGCAAATATTGTTGCTAAATTTATAACAAGGATGAAGATAAGAATGAAGGGTTAAGAAACAAATATGACAGCCAGGACTGAAGATGAATAGAGGCAGTCACCAAATATTTAATTTGTTGACCATTAAATATTCTGCAACCAACTAGTAATGGGGACAAATAACAGATAAACAAGGATCCTGGTGGGAGGTCAAAGTCACTTGCCCACTCTTTCTTGGGCTTACACTGGGGTCCGCTTCTGAACCTTTATAAACCTTCATAGGTGACCCACAAAAGCCCCCACGGCTCTTTCTTACATTCAACAGAAGGAATTTCCTCTATGCTTTAACTCCCTGTCATCCTCTGGCAAACAATCAATTGTTCAGCAAACCATCTGGTCACTTTTTACAGGGACCTTGCTTCTTCCATTCCTTTCTCTCCTAAACAAATTTGTGATTGAGAAAGGGAAAGGACAATAATTGTTTGTGCCAAGCACCAGGGAACTAAGCAGTTTACTGGCAGAAATGTCCTCAATGCTTAAGGTTGGCTCCCTGGCCGGGTCTAGCTCAGACACAGTAGAGGCCAGGGAAGGGGGGGCGGCACGGGGGAAGCCCCTCCTCAGCTGTTCCTGATGCCTGTACTCCCTGCCCTGTAGAGCTCCAGCCTCTGGCTCCTTCCCACCACTCCATAGAGCTCACCCAATGCTAACTGCTCGTGATAACCAACTGATAAAATAGCTCCTACTATTGCATATCATACACGAATTTTATAATGTTTTACTCTTCCCCAGGTTAAATTCTCACATTTTAAAACAGATGTTTTGAGGGATGGTACTTTCACACACACACACACACAAATCTAGTAACTTATGCCAAGGTATTATGCCTGTCTGCCCACCTGCCACTAGGGCTGGCACCCAGTCTTCACTCTTACCAATGAGAGCTCACAAAAAGAAAGACTGAAACCCTAGAGTCCTTACAGGGCCCAGAGTCAGCCACACATAACAGCAATTCCTACCATCTCAGTCCAGTCTCTCCTTCAAGTTTCTGTTCAAACTGAGAAAATGTCATTCGTCACCATCCTATCACATACTATCCCATCTCTACTTCCTTCCACCCAAGGTGGCAGGAATATTTATAACTGTAAGTGACAAGAGCAGGCAAGAAAGGATATTATTTGCTCATTTACATTCTCTGAACGAGATTCTATGAGGTATCACTCGGGGATGGAGATCTGCAAGCACAGTCAATACCATGAGGGATATGGGGCCCACTAGTGAAACCACACAGATGCAGATGAACGCCAACAGATGTGTAGGTAAAATGGATAAGGAAATGAAGACTGGAAGAATCACGATGTCTCCACGCTATGCAGATGAAGAAAAGACCCCAGCACAGGAAGTGGTTCAAAACGCAAACCCTCCCCTCTTTCACTGAGACTTGGCGTGGCACTGGGCCACCCGGACTGGTGCCAGCTTGTCCTGTCTCAAGAGTGTAGAACAAGCATCGCATCATGAGTTCCTGGGTCCTGGTTACTTTTGCCTTCATGGGCACCTCTCTCCCTAAGAAATTTATCTTACAGCTGTGTTGCTAAGAAGATGAAAATAATTTTTAACCCTAAAAGATGTTTTATTTGACATTCAAAGAACCTAAAACACTTTCATGGGCCTTAAATGTACAGTGGGACCAAATCACTCCCCATTCCTGGTGGGTGCACCAACTTCAGTGCTGGAACAAGAGCAATAACAAAAACTCGAGAGCCAATAATTGGAAAATTGAGAACCAATGATCGAACCAATGACTAAAGAAAAAGAAAGCCCAGGGGCTAGGGGAGACTCGAAAATGCATGTGACTAGAGAGCTACAGATGACAGATTAGAATCCAGTTCCACTGATACCAACAGGGTTCTCTCTAGCACACCTGTTCTCTTCATGGTGATTATGGCCTCCCTGAAGAAGTTTTAACATAACCACCCGCACTGACCTTCATGGTTGTGAAGTTCCTGATGCGGTCAAATTCAAACATGATCTCGATGTAGCCATTGGTGGCACTCTCGTTCCGCCAGCCCACGTAGTCATAACCAGGCCACACGTGGTACTCATGGGTCTGGGTGAAATCATCCAGGCCAGACACCCCATCTGTCAACTGGCCCAGCCCTTCAGTCATGCTGCTCAGACAGGAGAGGAGAAGGAAGAGGAGGAAAGGAATCTGGAGTTAATTACACTTTCATGGTAGAGCTTCTGCCCAGTTGTTTCACCCATTAAGTAAATGATGGGCTTGTTGGAAATTTCTCTGACTCTCCTTTACCTCCATGTTTTCATTATTCAGTGAATAATGAATATTCAGTGAATCTATTTCATGGAAGCCAGTAACACTCTTTCCCCAACCCCACATCTCCAACAGCCCAATTTAACAGAGCGTAATCTCTGCCAATTTAAACACCAATACATACTTAATTGTAATTAAATTGGCAGAATCCTAGATTCATGGAGGAAATGCATGGATTGCATGAGAGCCTCCGGCACTGAGTTTAGTTTTGTTTTCTAGCTCAGCAGCCTGCCCCTACCCCCACTTCTCGGTCTAAGACTCTGTTCTAAATGACAGACTGCCAGAAGCTGCCAGCTAAATGGGATGTGTATATTTCAGTTAATTTGGCAGTTGGAAGAGACCTCCTTCCTTATTCTTATGGAGGGATTGATCAAGGACCCATTCTGTGGAACTTCTTCCTCCTCAAACTTTGTATCCTAAGCTTTCTGGAAGATATACCAGGAAGCTCCAGAATGAAAAGACTGGGATTTTTACCCTCAGGCAATAATTCATGTGACCTCTGAGGTTACATCCAGACTAGTGATTTATGTGAAATTTGTTAATTACCAAAAGAAAAAAAAATCAAGTGATTATGCCAGTCTGAAAGATAACATTTTTAAATATTTATTGAAAAATGTTTGGCAAATTATAAAATTTGACTGGCTTTATCCATAGTGACCAGAGCCTGGATCTCCCTTCCAAAGATTTGCCATCTTTTCCTTCTTACAGATCAGAAGGCTAGGAGAACATACATTTACTTGCAATAAACATATTTCCCATTGTCCCCAGAAAAATAAAGCCCCACAAAAGTCTTATGAAAAGCAACACTAATGAAAAGGAATGCTTATTCAGTTTCTCCTTAATCAAAATTAAATCAAGTAGGAAAGGAATAGGAAAAAACTTTCCCTCTTTACTTAATATACTTTAGAAGTGTTAGAATCACTTTCAAAAATTTTTAATTATAAAAAGTAACTTTTGCAACTACAATGGCCTGTTTCCTGAGACCCTGAATTGGGTGGCTTTGGCCTCACTCAGCCACAACACAAAAAGCCATCCCATTGCCTTAGTTATCAGTGGAAGGCCCTGAAATTATTTTTGATCTTTCCTTTGGGTTCCAAAGCCCTATTTCAAGCTAACTGCTTTACTGCTTCCTTTGAAAATCCTGTCCATACCTTAAATTTACATTCCAAACTGAGTCCATCATCACCCCCTTTCTCAACAGCCTCTTGCCTATGTTTTCCAACTTCTCTTTCATATTCATTGAATGTACCTAATGAACAGTAAGTTCTCAAAATACATTTGTTGGATGACAAAAATATCACTCCCGTTAGTTCAGCTGTTGTATTTCTTCTGACCCTACTGTCGTGCATTCTACATCCAATCAGATTATAAATATTTCATCAATGAGTGACTTGTCCTCATACCATTCCTGCCACCACCATTATGTGCCTGGTCCTCAATTCTTTTCATCTGACAGAATTTATCATTTAAAAATGACTCTCAGCAGCCTCCCCTTTCTATCCAAATCTAACTTTCTACGCTGCTTGATTTATCTGTCCAAAGCATAGTTCTGGTCTTACTTAATCTGTAACTTAAACAAAAAAAAAAATCTCTCTCTTGTTGATGAAAATCAACAGATCCTCCATCACCTCCTCTTCCCCCTGGTCTTGAAATTCAAGTGTCTCCAAAATATGATATAATGTGCGTCATTATGCTCCCCAGCTACTGTTTTGCTACAGAAGCATGGCCCATGTTTATCTCAACTATTGATCTTTCCAGAAACTCTCCTCAATTTTCTAAGTGTGATTCCTCTGTCCTAATGCTATGTCCTCTGTCCCAAATGCCACATTTAGATTCATTGCCTGGGGGAGACCTTCCTGTCTTTAGCGACCATCTGGGACTTCACTTATCCTGTGATGGCTTTTCTGTCCCTCCAAACTTATAACTTACATGCATTCAGTACTTTACCTTTACAACATGCCTTTCTTATGCATTTCTTGTCATTTGAGGCTCATAACCAAAGTCACTTTTATTACATGAATCCAAGGGTTTCACTCCTAATACTAAGCTTTCCTACTGTGACTTACTCTTTCCTTTGAATCCCAAGGCACCCATAAGAAATCCATTATGGTTGGCCTGCATCATAGTAATTTATTTCCTGTTTTGACCCTCATTCCTAACTATGAATAGTAGATAAATGACTTCATTGTATTTGAATATCTGCCATGGCTTGCCAAATTCCTTGCACATAATAACAGTAGATTAGCAAGGATTTATTAAACAAAACTGAATTCAATCCATCTCTGATTTCCCCTTGGCCTTGAGTTTATGCTGGTTGGGGTGTGGCTGAGGGAAAGGATGCCAAGATAGCTGAATCAAATGGGGAAGCACACTTACAGTGTTCCTAAGTAGGTGGAAGGAAATGACTAGAAATAGGCAATGGATGAATCAAGACTTTATCCAGGGGCTGGACAATGGGGCTAGGGGGTACTATAGAGGGGGCAGCAGCTATTTCTTCACAAATGAGCCAATGAAAGTGGTTTAATTGCATTCTTCTTTGTGGTGTGAAACTCACTAATCTCTCTCATACCCACTAACAACCTCCATCTGGACTTCACTGGGGCCTGACCTCTGCCAGTATCACTCTTTGAAGACAAAAGCCAAATAAAGGCAGAGAAAAACCACTACATTGAAGTAGAAGGATGACAAGGCGTGGCATGAAGTAGGATGCAGGTTGGCATGTCTTGTATCCAATGCTAAATTCCTGCTGCATCTGATCACACTTCTCTGCCATTGCTCTCATGGACCCACATTAGGTCTGTCCTTTGGTTCTTTTGCTGTTACCAACTCTAGCTTCTGCTATAGTCAGATCATTGTTAGAAGCAATGCTTAACAATGCTTCCTTTCCTCTGCCCCCTTCCACCTACCGCCTCTCAATTACCATCTCATTCTAGAAATCTTCATCTACTGTGTTAATAGTTTCCTTTTCACAATTTCGGAAGTGGTTTCTATTTGTGGAGTTCATTCTTCCTGGACTTCTTGACCTATCCAAAGTATTATCCTTATAACTTCAATTCTTCTGGCTCTTTGCCTTTCTAAGTGGGTCATTATTTGTATCAGACCATATGTCCTGTTTTAAGGGTCAAAAGATATAGCTACCTTACGTAGAGTCATACTACAAAATTTGGCCCTTACTTTGTATAGTGTAATGTTTTCCTTGCTATTATGTTGTCTTCCTGAACTAGACTATAAGTTCCTTACACTAAAAGTAATAGATTTAAATTATCTCACAAAGCCTGGAATCTAAATAAACACTGGCTGTTTGATTGATTGCTTATTGATCCCAACTCATGATAAAATATCATTCTCTTCTGGTAACCTTTTTTTTCCATTCTGATGATCAAAGTTTCCCAGAATTTACCTGTACCCAACAGCTCCATCATAGACAGAATCATTCAGATAAATGATGGAACCTCCAGGAAGTACAAACTGCTGTCCAGCGGGAGCACTGTAAGACACCAAGCCATCTGCCAAGAGAAACACAGATGTGTCCGTGCCATCAGGAAAGAGATATGCTTGTGGCTCAGACCTCCTTTCCCAGAGAGCCATTGGTGGTTTCCAGGGTGCAATCTTGCATACAGGTCTATACCCAGGGTGCAGTCTGGGCACACAGGAACATTACTGAAAAGCGCTGGCTCAGAGTAGTTGGCAAAGTAACTGAGAATGCATCATTCCCTGGGTGGGAAGACAATAGTCTCTCTTTACTCCAATCAAGAGATAATTACTTCACACCAGGGGTTACTAATCCCAGTCCTTTCTGATTTTTACTTTCCAGGGGCTGGGGCTTTTGATAAGGCCCACGAGTGCTTGCTTCAGAAACCTACCTAGCCAGACACAGCCATACAGCTCTACCCTCATGCACACATTCATGGAGTGGTCCGTAACTGGAATGAAGCGGACAAATCTGGCCACAATGGGAGGCTCCAAGTCTTTTAGGAAAATGTCATAGGGGTTGCTATTTCCATCTAGCACCTGAAGAGAGAAAACAGAGTGAGGAAATCCTTTGAAGCCAAGCTGACATGTCATCATCCCTTGATGGGCCCTCTCTTTTAATTTATGGAGCAGAAGGAAACCCATTTGACTTCTTCAGCAGTCTGGTGGCTCCCTCCCCATCCTTGCTCATACTAGGTGACATGTTTGCAAAGACGTGCTGGGTCTGTGCATACACATACCTACACAGATAACCTGTGTACTCCTCTTCTGGCCTAAGTCAAAGTTTGCTCCTGGGTGTCCCTTCTTCCTACCTGTTTCCCATGACGATTCCGCCAAGAGATCCAGCGGGTGCCATCCCGACTGTAATTGATCTTGTACATAGGGGCAAACTCAATGCCATGGCCCCCTGCATGGCGCCCCTGAGTCCCCACCAGAGTGATGAAGTGCAGGGTGCGCAGGTCAATCTGCAGAAACTCCTTGAGGTCATCAGGCTCCACTGGTATCTCAGGGCACCATGCTCCATCCCCTTCTTCTGAGTCCAATCTTGAGAGATGAGGGTTGGGGAGACAGATAGGAATGATGAAACCAGAGTTGCTTCCCATTCCACAGCAGGCAGCTTCCCTGTCCGGAGCCCAGTCCACACTGACTCTGGGGTCTCCACACTAGCCGACTCTCACCATAGCACCTGCTCATGATCAGTTTTATCCCTCTGGGACATAATAAAACCCACAAAGACAGTTACCACAGAGGATCTAGAACCTTCAGATAACATGCAGCATCCTGACTGTGAGAACTTGAGGGACATGAGACTCTTTCTAGCCTCTATGCCTCCATGGTGTCATCTGCCATGCTCCTCCTTACTTTCAGTCCCATCTGACCCGGCTCACCATTTCTTGCTTGGGTACCAAGTTATAGGTGGGACAAAAGCTGCTGGATCATAAGGTCTCCAGTGGTTTCCACAGTACAGTGGAATTATAACCAGCAGCATGGACAATGACTCCCAGCACAAAGACATGAAGCTCCAAGGTGGGATAAGAGAGAAGAGAATTCAGGGCAGTTGTAAATAATAATCTGGTTTCATGTTATGCTCCAGGCTGAGCTACCAATGAACAAAACTGTATGATCAGTATAAGGTTTATTTTGGGAACTTTTACCACTTTCTCTCTTCCCTGGAATGTTTTTTTTCTCAAAGGTGTCACATACTCGTTGCTGCTCCCTGCCAACCTCACAGCTATCATTCTTGTTATGAAGAAGGTTTACTAGGGTTGCTTTTCTGTGGGTGATTCTATTTTAACGGAAATCAATCCTTTAAATCAAAGGAATTAGATTCCACAATGTATACAAGCAGTCATGACAAAGAAATATAATACTACAGAGGACCCAGAAGATGACTCAATTTATAGATGAGGAGGGAACCTGTGAGACAACCCTTAGAGATAACTTGTTGGAGGCCTCCATGTATGTCTGAGGTTATGATGCTTCACACTGTGGAAAACATTTCATAGACACCTTCAGAAAGGAGACTGGGTCTCCTAGCTTCCCGAGTCCTATATAACATGCCCCTTCCCATAGCTACACCCATAGTTACAATATAGTTCACAGTGAGAAGGTGATACAAATTCCTGTACATCATTGGGGTCATCTACTGGGTGGGATGGGGTTGACACACCAGCACATACTGCGAAGCCCAAATGCCCTCTCTTGAAACACATATACATGACAGGCCCACCTGACACCCTTCCTACAAGGACTGGCAAGATGCATTCCTTCAGCTCCCTCAAAGCAACCCATTTCTTGCCAAGCCCCGTAAAACAGGATATTATGTACAGGAAACCTGTCCACGCCAGAGTTCAGGCTTCTTGGACGTCTGTCCTCACCTTCCATATTTGGCGGCTGTAGAGTCTGACCACTGACTGGAAGCCGTGATGTCCTCATCTGGAATGTGGCCTCCCGACATGCCCAGTGGGTAGCGGCACACAGCTGAAGCAAGAGAAAGGAGAAAACATGTCTTCGTCTTCACTTCCAATTGCCCTCAGGAAGAATGTCACTGATTACCAGACAGGAAGGGACATGACTTAAATCTGGAGAATGGCACCTATAAGCCCAGCCTGATGACCATGACCTCTCCATCCTTTCTTCCTGCCCCCGTCCCCCAAATTCACTAGCATCCAATCTTTCAATGCTCTCAGTCACACCTACCTTAGTCCAACTCTGATGAAATAATGCAACATAATGTGGTGTGCTGATTATCCTTTTATCTGGGGATACCTGGGGCCCATCCCCATTCCCTCTTTGGTAGACATGCACTTGGAAATATTTCCCACCAGTGCAAAGTCATCCCCACAATCGCCAGCATTCTCTTGCAGGACACTGGGGAACAAAGCCAACAAACCTTCCTATGAAGGGACTGGCCACACAGCTCTGGCCTCATCATCACAATGTTTGGCCTCCAGAAAAAAATATTAACTCTGGATATAAACTTGCACTTACAACTAAGAGAGAGTAACAGGGAGCAATTTACTCTCCTGGGTAAAGCAACAAAAAATGGATAGAGTAGATCAAAAACTAGATTTTAATATAACATATATTAAAATACAACAAAGATAGCAATCCCTGAAAAGCAAAGACGAGCCCTAGCTTATACCATGAGAGTCCAAGCTACAATACAGTGAAAAAGAAAATCAGAGAGGGTTTTCAGATTTTAAAATCAGATATCAGATTTTAAGACTTCATATAAAACTATCATAATCATGGTAGTGTGACAATAGGTTAGAGCTAGACAACCTAGACAACTGTCTCAGTGAAACAAGAACCAGTGCAAAGGTGGACTCCCAGGTACACACACACGTGCCTGTGACCCTCCTAGGCAGCTACCCAAAATAAAGTGCATAGTCACACAAAATCTCAAATTCTCAACGTTTTGGAATGAGAAACTGAGAAGAGAAAGGAAGAGGAAATGCTTATCATTTTAGATGAATTACAGGATAGTAGTGAAGCCAAAATTACCAGCGGGTGAGGTAAGAGACATTTCAAAATCACACACAGGATTTGGCCCACGCCCTGCTCCATCTCTTTATGCAGGGAGCCCAGAGCCTGAGTCAAGGTCCCCTCCTTCACACCTACGTGTCTGGGTGTGCCAAGCATGTTAGTCCTAAGGGCCATGACATCCTAGGCAGGAAGAGGCTTCTGGGAGCCTATACCCCATGTGCTGTGTGTGCCAGGCGGTCCACAGAGCCCTTGCGGTGGTATTTAAGACACAAAGCCAGCTACTAAGGAAGCAGACTTTTGCTCTCGCTCTGTCACTGTCACCGTAGGTACGTTTCCCTCAGGGTAGGCCAACGCAGGCATTCCTGGTTCCCTTGGCCATGTCAGAGCACCCACAACAGCCATCTTGATCCCTAAAGTAAATTTCTTCACCATCTGCAATGTGACAGCTCTTTGTTTACCTCATTTTCACCCTTACAATGACCTGAAGTGGTGTAGTGATGGCACTGGAGCTTGGACTGTGGCTTTCAAAGTAACAAGGAGACACGTCCTGAGGAATGTGGCTGGCAGGTGGCAAGGGCTTGACCCCACTCTTCTGTGTCCTAGTTCAGTTTGTCTCAATACACCAGACCTTAGAATTTTAGTCTTTCCTATTTTTATTCATTCTATCACTCAAACATGTCTTAAGCATAGCAGGGGTACAGAGGGAACAAGTGCCTTTTGTCAGAGAGCTTGGTTCTAGTGTGGGGCAATGACAATAAGCAAATAAACACCCGAGGGATGATGGTACAGGGAAGGAATTGGTGCTCTTTTCTGTAAACCTCAGGGTGACTCCCAGATAAAGTGACTTTGAATAGGGGCCTGAGGAAGGAAGTCACCGAGCCAGGAGACCCCCAGAGAGTGGGGGCTCCAGGGAAAAGATACGTGCTATGGGGGTGCACTGAGGAAGGGCATTCAGAGGTGCAGCAAAGGAGTCAAGCTTCCTGCAGCACAAAATAGTGCTCCAGCGCTTACCTCGCAGGGTGAGGAACTTGCAGGCAAGGAAGGCAAGGAATTTTGAAGAACAATAACACCAACCCCTTGTGTTTCCTTTCCCTCTGAGTTCTGACATTTTTTTGCTGTCTTTCTCATAGCATCAGATGTATAGTGCAATGCAATACAATTATTTGTGGCGATAGAGCCCTCTCTCCTTTACAGATGACAACGTTTTGGGATTTAAAAAAAAAAAAAAAAAGAACTGTATCCTTTTCTTACTTATTTCTCACTCTAGCTTTTATTTTGTCTTTTTATGATGCACATCGGAGGAATGAGTAACTGGTCCAAAATATATGTTGAAAAAAATCAAAACTAAACCTTAGAGATAGAGCTAGATTGGAGTAAAAATAAAGTTGAACAAAAATTAAATAGCCCTACAAATCTCAGTTCTCTGTCTTTTCCATTTCATCCAGTCCATTTTTCCAATTATTCCAGCCAAAACTTTTGGGGCCACTCTTGACTCTTTCATATTCCATATCCAGACTTCAGCTGACAGAAGATCCTGTGAGAATGTTCTAAAAACATTCTCGTCTATTTCTTCTCAATGTCCCTCTACCATCTAGACCAACTCCGTGTCCTCAATGTCCAGCAGAAGAGCAATGACCTCCTGACTGACATCCCCTGTCTGTCTAGTCATGTGTATCTACTAAAATGTAGATCGGATCACAATATGCTTCTGTTCAAAGACCTCCAGGAACTTATCACCTTACTCAAATCCTTACTTGGTTTTGAGGACCCTAAGTGAGTTTCCCCCCAGCTGTCTTGGCCAGTCCTCTCCTTTCTCTTCCTCCATCAGATCAGCCACACTGGCCTCCTCACTACTTCTCCAGCACACTAAGGGTGTTGCTTCTTTTGAAATTAGCTTTGGCTCTGTGAACATTTAATTTATTAACTATCTCATAGGTCTGAGGAAAGAGGAGTAAAAAGTGTCCTACGTGTCGGCACCTCTGAAATCTGAATGCATCTTTCAAGCAAATAGTCACAGTTTCCCTCCCGGTATGTTTGGGGTTTATTTTCCCCCCTTATAGGTACATAAAACAATGACCATGGAGAGGTAGCAGTTTCAACAACATCTAGTACTAGCAGTATCCACTTAGGGCACTTATCAAGTGCGAGACCCTCTGATAAGCACATTGTCTTCATTACTGGAGTTTTCCTACTAATCACCATTTTACAGCTAAGAGTTTAAATTACTACCAAAGCCATTCACTGCATGAGTACTAGCTCAGCTTAGAATTTGACTAAAGACTGTGACCTCATTAAATGACACAACCTCTAAAAATCAGAGGATTTCAAAGCCACTCCTGGCTCTACACTTACACGTCATGGACCTGAGACCTCTTTGGGGTCTTGGGTTCCTCACGTAGAAGCAAAGGAGCTGAACCTAACAAGCATAAAGCAAAGGTTCCCAAAAGTCAGTCCACAGACCAGTAGCTTTAGGATCACTGGGAAGGCTCCAGAATACATACTGGGAGCACAACTCTGAGAGAACTTCTTTTCCTTCTTTTGGTATATCTGAAACTAAACCCAGGAGTTGCCTAATTTTAATTTCCCAGGTGTTTCTGCTGCACAACGGCACGGCAACCCCTGCTCCCAGGTCCCCTCCTGCCTGGGCATACGATGACTCTCTGGGTCCCTGGTGAACAGCCCAAGAAATGCACATTCCCAACCCCCTGGGCTTTCTTTCCTGGCTATCACAGAGCTCTGGTCTCCGGGCCATGCATGCTTCTCGGAACAGCTAAAGTAAACCAGGGAGGGGAAGGAGGGTCAGAAAGGATGAGTCAGAATATTGTTGCAAATAACTTCCCTCCAAGGCTCTGTTCATCCTGGGAGCAGCAAGCAAGAGATTTAAACAGAGCAGTCACTGCTACTGCCTTTAGAAAACATTCAGTTCAATTATATCCATGAAATAAGGAATTCTTGAGAAAGATTAAGAGAAAGGGGTGAGACCCCTCATCCCCGACATAAAATCTAGGGTCAAGTCATGCCAGTTGCCTTCTCATGGGCTCTGTGCTTCTCCTGATCTGCCAGGGCTTTGGAGCCAGGATCCTCCCATGTAGCATCCTCCCATGCAGCAGCAGATGATCACCTGGGAGTCTGTTAGAAATACTGACCTGGATGGCTAGATCCAACCTCTGTTGTAGCCAGTGCTTCAGGCAACTTCGATGCACTCAATTCTGGGACTCAAGTCTGAGAAGTCTAGAGGCTAGGGGATGAGAGAAGGTTCTGCTTCTTACCAGTGCCCCACCTTGGCTCAGCCATTCCAGCCCATCCATCTCACAAAGAATTAGGCCAACTGTGGAACAGCCCACACAATGACACCCCTATTGCAACCAGGAAGTAGCTCTCCCTGGGGTAAAAAGGGAGGCTCCAGATCTCTGGGTCAATTCTTTTGGGGAAGAGAATTCAGGAATGACAAGTGAAATGTTATTCCCATTAGGAGGCAATCAAAGAGTGAGCAGTAAATTGGTTTTAGGATGGGCCAGTCAATCAGCAAATCCTTTCATTTTTCTCCTGCAAATTTCTTGAGTCTAACTGTTTCTCTCCCTCTTTACCTGTCCCACCCAGGGCTGGTCCACCCTCCACCATCTCAGACACTCACTACTACAATGTACTTCTACCAAATAAGCTTTTTAAACCTTCTCATAGCTTTCCAAACTTCTGAGAGTAATATGACCCATGCAACTCGTAAAATCAGGTCTCAGCCCACCTCCCAGAAACCTCATCTCAGACTGTCCCTAGATCTTTGCCCTCTTGGCCCCAGCACATGGGTCTATTGCAGCTGGAGTTCATTCCAGATTCAAGTCTCCCTGAAGCTGATAACCACTTTACTTGGAATGTTCTTCCCTCCTTTACCTGCTAAAGCCTGCTCATCCCTCCAGCTCTACACATCCCTCCCTTAAGAAGCTCCTCCGAGGAATCTCTATGTACAGGTTTTTCTTTGGAGACTATTATAATAT